AAAAAATATATATATATATAAAATTGTTAGAAGAAAACATATCAGGCTCATATAATGCATTAATTATTCTGCATAAGATTTGCAAAATATTTGCAAGAAGAGGAAAATCAGCAACTGATTAAGCCTGGAAAGGACTGTCCTAATAACACTATAGTATTCCATTCCTTATGTACTGCATCCTAGGATGAAAGCTTTAATCCTTTTTTGTTCTTTGCAACTTATAACAAGAAGCAGAAAACACCTGCAGCAGAGCAAGTTCTAGTTGTAACTTTTACCTTGAAAGTAACATTCAAATAAAATTAGAATATATGCATGATTTGAGTAATAAATTTTCACTTTGTAATCATTAAGAGTCTCTGAATATGTTTGACTGCTTCTGCAGTCACATTTCAGTCTGGACATCATTCCCCTGAAACAGTTTACAATCTCATATTTACTTCCATAAGTAATGGCACAGGTACTGTAAGCAATTACACACCTTCATAGATGCTTAAAATAAAACCTCAGAAAAACCTCAAGTGATTTAAAGTCCCCATTACATGTCAGAACAGGCAAAATATTGCTAATACAGATTACTTCCCCTGAAAAAAAATTATAAAGATCTGTAAAGGAGAGCAGTCATTATCTTGCTGAAGGAACACTGTTTTAAAATATTTTCATTTAAAGCATTCACTAAGATGGGTGCTTATTTTTTTTTTTTTCTTCTGAGCCATTGACAGCCTCAGCTACTTCTGTTTACACAGAACTCTGGAATGGTCTTGTGTTTTTTTATGGACTAGAAGAAAGTATAATTTTCCAAAATGTACCTATCATTTCCCCCTCAACTCATTGATGGAGGAAAGCTGTTTGCTTACTTACAGGATGAAGAATTATTTTCAACGATGTCTGTTTCCACATCTTCTGTTCTTCATGACTTTTATATATTGTTTCAGAATCTTACACTTTTCATTCTTTAAGGAACTGACACACGATTTATAAACAGTATTAATACTAAAGGAAATTTAACTTTTTATTTATGACAATTTTCCTTCCTACTCATCATATGAGGTGTCTTTTGCTTGGGAACTTACTTTTCTAAATCTAACAAGTGTCTGAAAACTTTCTGATTTTCTTGTACAACAAAAGAAACAAACCAAGAGTTCTTCTGAAACACTAATTAGTCATTTAGAACTACTTTCAGATAAGACTCAAACCTTGAAACAAAAAAGAAAGTTTACAATGTTGGGCATCATTAGCTATCTTAAGTGTCCTTTATGAATTGCTATTTTCTAGTTTACTATACACACATATGGAGAATTTTTCATTTGTTTACTTGTTTGTATTTCAGTATATGTCTCCTTCCCTTTCTAAGCTTCACCTGTGCAGCTTTCTCCATCAGGTCTCCGGGTCATTCCAGGAGGACAAATGCACATGAAGGTACCAATCAAATTTTTGCACATCATGCCTCTTGATTTGCAGTCATGGAGACCTTCAGCACACTCATCTAGATCTGTGAAAAAAATACATATTTTGTGTTTTAACTTTCTTCCAGTAGCTTCAGTTACTGACAGCTAGCACTTTCTCAAAAACACAAGGGCATACAGACTTGCCTAACTGACAAGCATTGAAGAAAAATCTGAGAGCTATGCTTAATTGCCGTTGTCTTAATCTTTGTGAACTGTATATCTTGTTATGTTAAAGATGAACTTCCCCATTGTGATCTTCTTAGCTTTATGATTCCCATCAAGGGGCACACTTGAAAATGAAAACACTAGATACTGGTCTTATGTGAGTTCTGAAAGAGTAAATCATTATCTGCAGGGCTGTTCTATAAATTCCAGTGAGAGGATGAATGCAAGATGCACAGAAATATTTGGCCAGTACAGGGTGCTGGGGAAAAGTTTATATGTCAGTCATTACCTTTACACATCTTTTGGTCTTCTCTTAGTTCATAGCCGACTGGACATGTGCATTCATAGAAACCGTAAGTGTTGATACAACGAAAAGCACACAACAAGGGATTCTGAGCACACTCATTTATATCTGAACAGAAAGGAACAAAATAATCGTTCTCCACTAAGTTTTAAAACAATCACCAAGAAGGTTTTCTTATACCTGTGCTTCTCTTGTCAGCTAAAAAGTATCAGAAATCTGATACTTCAAACTAGAAACCTGTGGATGATTGGTTTTGAGTAGCCAGAGAAAACAGAAGAAAGCTCTGCTTAACAATAATGGTGTAATAAATATGGAACTACTTGAACTTAGAATGACAAGTTGGGACTGGCCTATTTCAGATTTTTATTATATTAGAATTTTTAATGTATTTTTGTGCGATCAGAGATGTCAGCTTATTTTCCAACTCTGAAAAAATGAATTCTTGCTTCAGAAAGCAAATTAGTTATGATTCATAAAATACAAAATCTGTAAGAAGAATCCTGATCAACATCTGATGAGAGTAGAATGGCTGTACACAAATCACACACTATAAAAAATAAGAGGTACTTAGTGAAACTAATAGGAGATTCCTTTAAAACAAATTATAGAAAATAGTTCTATAGTAGTGAGAGTAGTGACATTCTCGATCTTCCTGCTACAAGAGGCTCTGGAGGCAGACGACATCAGCAGATTCAAGACTGTTCTGGACAGATTCTTGGACAACAGACCCATAAGTGAATACTAAATCCACTCTGCAAGGATGCATCGCCCAGTTTACATTGTATTTTCCCTATATCCTCAGCTCTTCTGTTAGAGGAGCGAACTGCAGAAAGTTACTAGTCATGCTTCTATGACGAATTAGCATTTCAACTGTGAGGGACGAAATAAAGGACTAGATGGAGCAGTGGTTTGACTTCAGTTTATTACATTCAGTATAACTCACTTCTTACTATAACTGTGATGGGTAGGTCAGTTCATAACTGCTCTGCCTCGGCTATGAAAAATGTTCTGCAAATTCAGGCATTTTTGTCAAGGTTAGCTATACCATTTATGAGAACATTTTGGGGGCTCAACAGTTACTTTTCCCTGCCTCCCCCTCCCACCCCCCTAGCCCCTTCCCAACAAACAGCTGAATAACATAATATACCCCAACACGCAGTTTGGGAAATCCTCTGATAAACTAAAAATACTGCTTAAATAAATTCAGGACTTATTTTTCAATGCCATATTTCAAGCAGAGAAACCTTTTTTCCTCCTAGTTATTATAGCACCAAAGGTCTGGTTAATGAAGTAATCTGAATACTGGACAAAAACTAAAGAAAAAAAATAAAGAGGGCAAGTTACCTTCACAGTTCATCATTGGGCCTGGCTCAAACCCTTCACGACAGTTGCACTCAAAACTGCCGATCACGTTAGTGCATGTACCGTTTCCACATGGGTTGCCAATTGAACATTCATCAGTATCTGTATAAAATGAACAAATGCAAACTGAAGAGAACTGGGACACATTTCAAATTGTGTTTTAAATTCAAGGGTTACAATTCTTATAATTGATGAAATATGGACACACCGATGCAATGTACTCCAGTGTAATCTAAGTTGTATCCCATGGGGCACTCACAGCGGAATGATCCATCAGTATTGATGCAGTGACCATTTGAGCAAATCCCGGGGCTTTCAAGGCATTCATTGACATCTAAAAAGCAGGAATATATCATCAACCACTTAGCTGATGCATTTCTGGATCAAGTCTTAAAAAAGCATTTCAAAAAAACTAAGCACTGTATAGTGTTTGTCTAGCCACACAATTTCAAAGGTGATCTTTTAATTATAATTTCATAATGGTTCACATTTATTAAAGGTCAGGCTATTGTCACCAGGGGCTGTGGGGAGTAATCCATCACATACCATAATATCCAAGTCTAGCTTTAAGCACAATTTTTTTTTTTAAATTATCAGGAAAAGAATGCCTACCTTCACGTGTATCATCAATTCCAGGAATAGTTCCATGACCATATGGACACAGGTCCTGAAAAGCAACTGTAGAGGTATGGTTTAAAAAAAAAAAAAAAAAAAAAAAAAAGAGTGTGAGAGAGAGAGGACCATGACAGATGGTTAAAGCCATCAAAAATCTTCTATATCACATTTTTCAAATTTGTCAACTGTTTAAATCATGGTCATTATATGCTGTCTTGCCAGATGCAAAAGTGACAGCGTCTCTAGGTCAAGGATGCAGCACTAAAACTCACTGAGCTTCCATGTGCACATGGTTGGTGCCTTCCCCTTTCTGTACTTGGAGAAAACCAAGAACTGAAAACTGTGGATTCCTTCAGGGATTCTTGGTACTGTTCCATTTTGCTCTTCTCTTTTGCCTAAAGCAGGCTAGATCTACAGATGCAGGCTGCTAGTTCATTTCTCTACAGAGCAAAACCAACAACTCAATATTTCTCTTTTTCTGTGGTTTCTTCTATTTAATTTTGCTCCTTTTGTTGACCTGAAAATGGTTCTAGAAAAGGCTTTAAAAGACAATGTGAAAAAGATCTCTCCTTCTAATGATCGAAATGGTACAGCACAAATGTGCTCTTCCTTTTCTCCCACCTAAAAAAAGCTTTATTTTAAATCTTGATGTGTACCTTCTTCTTCCTTTGGACAGAGCTCACAAGGATCACCCCATCCTTCTCCTGGCATTTTACTGCAGCAACACTTTGCCTTTGTGGTGTTGAAAGCCTTTGGCACCGAGCATTTCCCATTCTCAAAGTTAGTGAAACAGAAGCTCTGCCGAGTATCTAGAAGAGAAAATACCGTTATGTGGACCTGGCACCTTCTACCTGGTTAGATGATGACTGTCTAGCCCTGAAAGGAATAAAGTTAGTCCTGTATTTTTCATACTATTTTGAAACCACTTTCCAACCCTCAGAAGGGCATAGTTTAAAAGGGAGGACTTGCTGAGGTCCCTTTTCACTCATTCTACAGAGTATCTGTTGTCTGTTAGAATAAGTTATTACATTCCTTAATCATTAACTTACCAAAACATCTCCGTCCATTATCAGACAGCACAAAACCTGTAGGACAGATGCACTGGAAACCCCCTGGAGTGTTTGTACAAGAACCAAAGAGACAGATGTTGGGATCCTCGTTACACTCATTAATATCTACAAATTAAAGGAGAAAAGGTTAATCTTAACCCCACTGGATGTGAATTCCTTGGTTAAGAAAGATGACACCCGTCCGTCTTTTAGTAAGGGATATTAAAAGAACCATCACAGACACCTATGACTGTATAAGCATTCTACAATAATACCCATATTGATTTTAATCAAAGCATAGGCAGGTATAGGTATTCTCCATTAAAGCAAACTTCATGGATGTTGAGTCACAGATTTGTAGTGCCATTTTTCCTGATATTTGTTGGACTATACTATACTGAATCTCAGAAAACTGACCTGTATTTAGCATATAAGGAAACAATGGAAATACAGTCTTTATCACAAGGAAAATATAAGTGGAGCGATGGAAGAAGTCAAGTGGGAATAGATTCTGTGATGTTACTTCTGAAAAATATTACCTTGAGTCCCATTTTCAGAAGTTACTATTAGGTATAGCACATGAACAAACCACTGTAGCGTAATCTGGCATATGACTGAACTCTGCAGTAGCTTTCCATGGACAGGCTCTTACTATGTGAAGCATTTTAAGGCAGCTTATTTCAGTGAAAAAAAAGGTAAATGATTTCACAGTTAGTGTGGCAGTTACTAATAAACAAAGCTCAGCAATTCAGCTGCATTAATGGGATGGAAAAACTGCTCTTTTGAAGTACTGATTACTACTGTAATGAATGGCTTGGGACTAGCGTAAGAAACTATTTTTGTGGCCACGATGAACAGGTGACTAGCCATACTGCGGAAGTAACAAGTCCTCTTCCCTTCATTCCCATAAAATGAAAGGAAATACATTAAACGGGTAGGTGAAAACTGAATTTTTCTGTGGCTCCCATCTGTTTTGGTTTCTCCTTCACATTACAGGCAGAAGCAATGAGTTCTTATAAAGCTGTCTGCATATAAGATCAATGGAAAGTAATGGGGAATGTATGTTGCAAGAGCTGTCATGATATTAATCAAAAATTAGTACAATCCCGTGTGATTATCTAGGCATTTTCTAGGAACTTAACTGCAAATTTTCTGGACACATGGCAGAATGACAAAAAAGAATGCAATTAAGTCCTTTTTACTCAGTTTGGGCAAAAATCTGTTTAGCAGTCACCAATGCTGTCAAAATCATAAAGAGATTCTGTCAGGATGCTGAAGTGGCCATAAACAGTGATATTGCTGGAAACCCAAAAGCTTTCATTTTAAATTCATGATTCTACAACTGTAGGTGATTTGAATTAATCTCAAACATATCTGGTAATATGGAAACAGCAGCTGCCAAATGAAACCATGAAGTTGGCAGCTAAACTGAATATGGTGGCCTGAAACAAAAAAATGAGAGAACTTTGGAGCTTAGAAAATACATCCTATTGTCCAAGACAAAAATTCAAAAAGGTTCCTGTGATTGAGTTCTTGTACCCACACAGATTAGGTGTCTATAGGCCAAGACTTTATGTCTTAGCCAGTGTTTTCTTCAGTCCATACAAGGACAAGCTGCTCATTTATTATTGGGAGTTATTTGTATGAATGTCTGTCTGGGGTGTCACACCAGCAAACTTCAGTCATTTAAGCTGAAAACCAGGTTTCTTAATATAGTCACAGGGGGGAGACAGAAAGGCTTCTAGGTTAGCTACTTAAAAATAGTTGTGTGCATCTTCCTTGCCAGGTGCACTGCATAGTTAGTTAATTTAAATGCCCAGTAAATTCACAGTAGTCCTGTGCTTTGCTCTACTGAAAAGGGAGTTGTAACTTGGATTTATTTCTCATTGTCTGCCATACCAAATCTTAATTCATTGTGCGACATTCAGCTCCTGAATTATATTCAAGGCTTTAAATGAGACTTATATGAACAAACAAGAACACGCAAACTGATGAAAGGTCTGCTGTATCCTCTTCCTGTGAATCTAAGCACTTGAGAGACATTACACAAAACATGAACCAATTTAAGCAATTGTTCTCATAAGCTCCATAACTTTATTGAGATTTTTAAACTTCATAGCCCTCTGAACCAGAGGCTTAGTTCACATATTGGTTGCCAATAATAACCTTTCTGTAAACATTACATAAATCCAGTACACAGGTTGGTTTGTTTTATGAATGATATTTTAGAAAAGAGAAAAGTGAATGGAAGATGAAATACCATTTTTTTTAAAAAAGTAAATATTTTTCTGCTTGCATTAATGAAGAAGTTAATGGACAAAATATAGCACAATAGTGTACAAACTATCTTGCCTTCCATTTATAAAACCTCTTTGTGAAGACTTCTCCTACTCACTTATTCCCTGTCACTATGATTTTAAGTTGGGCAACATTCACAAACACTACAGTGTACAACTACTTTCCACCAAATTAGAACAAGATACTTTTTCTAATTTTTAAATTGTTCAGAAGCAATAATTATGACTTGCCTTACCAATACAACTTTCACTTTTTACTTCATAGCCTGGTGGACAGATGCATCTGAATGATCCTTCCAGATTTTGACAGGTTCCAGGAGAGCATGAACCAGGTAGTGCCACACACTCGTTAGTATCTTTGGAGAGCAGATGGAATCAAGAAAGGTTTACAATAATTTAATTCTTATGGTAACACAACAGGCTTATTAATGAAAAAGACTGTAGGATTCTTTTATAATTTTCTTTTTTCTAAAGCATTTAAATGCTTGAAGATCAACAACTATTCCAAAATCCAGTTACTGCTACTGTGTTTTCATTAAAGCTACTTTTTTTTTTTGTTTTGTTTTAATACTAACATACTCAGACTGTGGTGCTTCTCTCTAGATAGGAGCTAAGTTTTATTATTTCAGCTCATCAATACTTTAACCTCTCCATGTGGTATCATACATACCAATGCAATTCTTGCCATCTAGAGGAAGTTCATATCCTTCATCACATAAACATTTGAAGGAACCAATTTCATTGAAACACCGTCCATTTCTGCACACCTGACCAAAGAAAGAGCTGCATTCATCAATATCTGTAAAAAAAACCACAACAAACCCAGAAGAGAGAGTTGAGTCCCAGCACAGTAGGTACAGTATGTTATAAACACAATCAAGTTACAATATGTATTTCTGTGGAAAAGGCAAATCCTGCAGCAACAAAGGAACAGCTGACAACTAGTGGAAAGTAACTCATTCAAGTGCATTAAGGTGTATGTTCTGTTTAAACAACACTCTTTTTTTATAGAGTATTATAATTTTCAACCTTGCAGCATTAACTCAGCTACTGCATCTGGAGACATTCAAGTACTGCCAAGTGACTGTATGATACTAACTTCAGACACAGAAAAGAAAATGCTACATGGAGTGTTTTGGATTTTATCTGGATTTGTATGTGCTTGAGTTTCCTCCTAAAACGTGCCTTGTCTTTTTCAAATTTTGGAATATGTAATTTGCTTTCTGCAGGACGGTTTCCTCCTTTATAATTGTTCTGAAAATGAGGTTTGAAAATACATATTAGTTTGTAGAGTCACTTTAATAATGCAGACTTAAAGGAGCACTGCGTAAGGAAAAATACAGATGAGAAAATGTCAGAATAAATGAAAAGGAGATTGGATAAGCACCATGGTGTAAGAACAGCTTACACTTCTCTGTTTTAAAATACGTGAATTTGAATGATGAGGACAAACCTCAGTTTTACTGAAGAGGTTTTAGTCTTCTTCAAAAGCATTAAATACTAGCTCCTGAAAAAAATGTACTTTCTGCTTCAGCCAGTACAGCCTGTGTATGTATTACTAGTTTATTCCATAGTACATTTCTTCAGTGTTACCGTTCTACAAGCAGCAAATGCATCCAGAGTATTATATTGGGATGGGTTAAATTGCCTTTGAATCACTGGGATGGTTTGGAAGAAAGCCCTGAGGCTCTTCAAGCTGTCAAGAGGAGTGCTAACAAACAGCCAAGTCTCTGAGTCAAGTTGGGCTCCTTGGCCTCCTTGAAGGCACAGCCTAGGGCAGAGGTGCTGGATGCTTCTGGCAGTAGATGGGCAGCTATGCTGCCAAGGGAAAGAACTTCCTTGGAAAATAGTGCCATTCTTTGGCAGTAGACTCTTCTTACTTGAACAAGTTTTTAGCTTTCTCTTTCCTGGACAAGAAGAGAATTTAAAATACTTATTTAAGATGTTTTAGTTTTCTCCTGAACCAGAAAGAACCAGTAGACTTTGTTCTATCTTCCTTCTGTAGCTGGAAGGAATGTAAATCCTTCTTCTCTTTTGGCTTACACTCTGCATGGGAGAGGGTCTCCTGAGACTTACAAGCCTGTTCTTCAGCTCAGGAAGATTTTAGTTGCTTTATCACCAGTATCCAGGAATACAGTTGTCCAGAACCATTCAGGCATTCTGGTGTCCTGGGCTTTAGGGACTAGAAAACAGCAATGCCTGTATGAACTCTGTATTAGCAGCGTTCATTTTAGGAGAGCACAGAATCACAGAATCACAGAATGTTAGAGATTGGAAGGGACCTCGATTGCTTTAGTCCAATCCCCCTGCCGGAGCAGGACACCTAGATCAGATCACACAGGAACGCATCCAGGCGGGCTTTGAATGTCTCCAGAGAAGGAGACTCCACAACCTCTCTGGGAAGCCTGTTCCAGTGCTCTGTCAACCTCACTGTAAAGAAGTTTTTCCTCATATTCAAGTGGAACCTCCTATGTTCCAGCTTGAACCCATTGCCCCTTGTCCTATCACTAGATGTCACAGAGAAGAGCCTGGCTCCATCCTCCTGACACTCACCCTTTACGTATTTATAAACATTAATTAGGTCACCCCTCAGTCTCCTCTTTTCCAAACTAAAGAGACCCAGTTCCCTCAGCCTTTCCTCATAAGGGAGATGCTCCATTCCCTTCATCATCTTTGTGGCTCTGCGCTGGACTCTCTCTAGCAGTTCCCTGTCCCTCTTGAACTGAGGGGCCCAGAACTGGACACAATATTCCAGATGCAGTCTCACCAGGGCAGAGTAGAGGGGGAGGAGAACCTCTCTTGACCTACTGACCACCCCCCTTCTGATACACCCCAGGATGCCATTGGCCTTCTTGGCCACGAGGGCACAGTGCTGGCTCATGGTCATCCTGCTGTCCACCAGGACCCCCAGGTCCCTCTCCCCTACAGCTTACTGCTGGTTTGCTTTCTCTTTCATGCTGTGTGCAAGTGTCAAGTAATATAGGGAAATAAATAATTTTAAATTAATGAGGCAACACTGGTGGTGTGATATAATATATGCTTATTGCAAGTGGTGCCTATGGACTGTTCCAGTAGTCAAGGTCATGTGCTTTAATAGCCCAGGTGAGGGCTGCATTAAAATGTCATTGACCTGTAATGTTGCCCCAGTGGTCCAGAGATTTAGGGTTTACAGTACCTCAAGCTGGCCAGTCAAGAATATTTTTAATTAGTTTAAAAAATTATAGTAATGATTGACCCTAGAGCTGGTACCAGTATCAGTTACTGCACTCAATTAACTTTCTTCGCACCATGACCCATCTTCTGTTTGAGTTTTAACTATATACCATCCTCCTAGCCAGCAGCAATAAAAATAAAGTTTGAATTACATCACTTACCGATGCAATCATTATTATGAGTTAATTCAAATCCTGGATAACACAGGCAGTTATATGATCCAACCGTGTTTTTACAAGTTCCATTTCCACATGGATGGCGTTCACATTCATCGACATCTGCAAAGAGATACAGAATTGTATGTGGGAACTGATTTTCCCAGATATGTGTTTATGTGTTATCTGTGCGCAGTGACAATATTCTAAGCCTCAGTCTCTCCTTTCATCTGTCACATTTTTTCTTTATACTACCAATTTTTACAGCTTCTGGGTACATGTAGTAAAATGTTACATGATGCATTTTTAGATGTATTTTAAAATAGAAGACACTGTTACATGCAAAGATGAAAGTAATTGCATGTGCAGTATCTCAAAGCATTCTTTTTATTTTCCATACTAATGTTTCTTAATTTCTTAATCTACACTAGTAATCAGAATTTAGTACAAAGGATTGAGCATCACAGCACTGGAACTACCTCAAATTTTATGTACATATTTTACTCTTAACACCATGAAAACCTGTTGAAAATGCTCTATAAAGGAGCTACGTGTCATTGTTCACAAGTCAATTTACATATGTAAATATATTCTGTCAACACTACATCCAGAATTATAAAGACTGCTTACAAACTCTTGGAAACCTCTGTTTTTAAAAGCTAAAATTCAGTATTTCCTCCTGTGTGTTTCAGTAATTTCTGGAGTTTCATGAAGATATTTGGATCTTATTCTCCTAGTTCTTGTGGACTTTCCAAAACATTTTATTTATTTACAAAAGGTAAACATTTTGTTGTATGGATCATTTCCATTACCTGCCGTTGTCTAGATTTGTATTTCCTACTGCAAAATTTTTAGAATTAGTTTTAGAATTATTTAATTTCCTGTTTTGAGTAACCAGGTTCTCAAAATTTTGCACTGTTAACACAAGTCACTTTCCCAAATACCCTCCTCAGATGGTTTGACAACTGTGATTTAGTCCAAAGATGGGAAGACTCAAGGCATATATGTAGTGCAATGCAAATAGGTTTCAGATGTCTGTTTAAAGTTGAAATTGAACATACTTATGTTACAGAAGACACTGAACTTCTCCATAGCTTACAACTGACATTCAGATGATCATTATTTCAAAAATCAAAATAATTTTTGGCTATTTTTCTCAAAGAGAACCAGATTCACATTTGTATCACCTTTTATTTTTAAAACCCTGTAGAACTGATTACAAAACACTACAAGAACAAGAAAAACACTCCTATTTTGCAATCTCCTTGTTTTTTATATCACCTCTATCATGTCATCATTTGAACACAAAGCTAGATTTAAGTTACATTAAACGTGGGATTCTGTTTTTTACATGAAACATGAACTCAACACATTTCTAAATAATTCAAAAAATGTGTCTTTTTTAAATCTCCCATAAGCTTCTCTATCAAATAAACCACTATGATGTATTTTTGTAAAAATGGTGTTAATATATTCTCCAGTAATATGGAGCTATCCCTGAGAATACTGTGATTTTTTCTCACCTAATATATGCACTCCAATGACAACTTCACATACTTTATTCACAAAAATCCAAAAACATACAAATCAGTCTTTTAATGTCACTATAATCTCCTCAAAAATTTAGACTCATCTCCTACCTCTTTTAAAAAAAACCACCCAAACAAACCATACACAAAAGCATTTTCTTTCCATACCCATGCACATAGTCTGGTCTTGGGATGCCCTAAAACCATTGTGACATATGCACTGGTAACTTCCTTGCATGTCCACACATAAACCATGACTGCAAACATTAGGAATTTCCAGACATTCATTGCGATCTATAACAAAAATATAAACCAGATAGTACACATTATTGACTTTTATTATTCATTCATTTTACACAAACATGCTTTTACGATGTTATTATTATTAAAACCAGACTCAAAATTATCCATAACAAAACCTGAATCATAACAAAACTTCATTTTATAGGAACTTCTTGCCCATACACCTAGAGGTCAAAACTACTGTTAGGATTTTGTTGATACATCAAGAATGTTCTTTAAAAAATTTACCATCTTTTCTTCCCTTCTACAGAGAAACAGGGATATAAAGTAAAAACTGTTACATGAAACAGCAGAATATGCAAGGTAACAGAAAATAAATGATACTTTCACCCTTTGAGAGAATCACACACAAGCCATTGATTAGGTACAAACAGGTTCAAAGAGATGAGAAAAATCAACTGATTTCTTACCAACACAGGCACCATTGGGTGAAAGTTTAAAACCAGCAGCACATTCACAGCGGTAACTACCAGGACTGTTGATACAGTCTGCATTTCTCTGACAGAGATTGTCTCCATTGCTGCACTCATCAATATCTGGAATACCAAGAGTCATGGTTCAGACATCAGAAACCACAAGATAGTTACTTCTGCCTAGAATTTAAACTGTACTGTCTGTCTTGTGCAAGACAAATTTTATGTCCCCAATGAAGTATGACTATTCTGACCTTCAGCTTCCTGTGCTGTAAATGCAAATGAAAAGCAAAATCAATACAATTTCATCCATAACACGCTTTTTGGATGAAGGAGGATCCTACAAATACAACTTACCACACATTGAAGTGGCTTTGCAATTTTAAATGTCTGTCTAAAGAAATTAGGTTTTGTATTCAAAAATGTTCCTCTTTGCCTTCAAACTGAAAGAGTAAGTGGCACAGTTTAGCTTTTTAAGGTACATGTCAGCACAAGACACTTGAATACCAATGCCAAAACTCCTATCGACTTTAGGACACACAAAATTTCACTATTAGGTTCTATTCCACCCTATAAAACTGTAGAAGAACAGACATAAGATGGAAAAAATAAGAGAAGTTTTTCTCTGAGAACTTTTGAAACAAGAATTAAATTTCCTCTCTAAAATAAAATAAAATTAAATAAATTACTTTCTATTTATGAGTCAATGAATTGCTTGACACTAAACTAGTACAAATTTTAGGAAGGTCATAAGCATATGTATTAAAGACAGTCGCACACTGATTTAGAGACTTGAGCCCTATAAGAAAGCTCACAGTGTGTCTCTTAGATTTTGAAAAACATGTGAATTAAATGTTCCCCTTCCCTTTAAGATAAGCATGCCTATGGGGTCTAAGTAGAAAATAATGTCATTTCAAATCACCTTCACAGACCAAGAGCAGGTCATTGTAGCTGAATCCAGTGGGGCACTCACAGCGGAAGCTGCCAATCTGATTGATGCAAACACCATTTGCACAGATTCCTGGGATTTCCTTACATTCATCAATGTCTGGAAGTGAGACAAGCTAGTCAAAGTACAATATTCCATGGCTTTACGTGCTGCTTGGATTCCCAATTTCACTGTACTTAAAACTGAGTTGAGAAGTTCCTTTTAATCTACAGAAATTGCCTATAGGATATAAATCTAAACACACACCCATTCTGAGAGAAAATAAACCACGTGAAGTTCAGGAAGCAAGCAAAACAGTGTAATACTAAATGTTAGACAACATGCAGAACTGTTACAAATGTGCAGATAAGTCCCACAGTATTTTTGAAGCCAAAACATTTTATCTTACCAATTAAAACTCAAAATCATGAACTAGGATGGAGGGTGAGCAAAAGATCATAGCAAAAAGGAGAAGTAAAAAATATAAATCAGCAATATTTTACGCAAAAAATGGTCTCACAATTTATGTCACCACTGTAACTTCACAATGAAATTAGAATTTTATTACATGAAATATTCATTTTGGTACCATCATGCAGCTGCAACAACCTTATGCAAAACGATTTTTGGTTAAAGTAATTTTAGTGAAACTTACCAACAGCTTTTCCAGTATGAATGTCAAAAGTGAAGCCAGGAATATTCCCACATATACTCTTGAATTCACCTAGAGCAAAACAGAGAACAATGCATTTTTAGTGAATATTTATGAATCTCCCAAGAATTACTTGTAGTCTTCTCAGTTGTTCAAGAGGTGATATAAGACAAATCTACTTGGATAAGCCATTGCCTCCTGTACAAGTTGTATTAAGAATTCAGGTTGCCAATAAATGAACGCAAATTGAAACACTAATTCATACTTCTCTTTTCTCAAATCTTTGCTGACATTCGCACATGAGTAAATGTCTAGTTTGAGAAAGCAGCACTTCAGTTTTTGTTTTAAATAGAACTCCTTAACTTACCTTTTAAGGTTTTTTCTTGCTTTCTAGACATCTGTAGAGAGAATCTGCAGCAACAGTTTCAGCTAGGAGAAATACATGTAATTACCAGTACCTAGCCTTCTTTGATAAGACTATCTGTTCTTTTCTGCAGAGATTACTGCAGCGTAGTTCCACTGAACTGTAGAGCAGAATGGACATTCTGCTTTAAAAAAAAGATGCTCCAAAAAAGCATTGTTTTAGTATGCTCATAGTCAAGATACTTTTCTAGACTATCTTGAGGATGGGAAATGAACACTGTAATATCTGGAGAGTTCCATGAGTGCTTGGGTCCACTGTTAGTGCTGCTGAGGGCCTATAGGAAGCCTATTATCTATCCAGTGAGAGGAAGCATATGAAATCTACCATTCATTCATCTCTAAACCATGCAGACAAATTATTAGGCACCTCTTCTAGCACCAGAAAAAGAGAAAGGAGACCCTCCTGTTTTCCTCTGAGTAATGATCTTTAAACTGGAGCAGTAACAGCTTATTTCTCTACTGGCTGTAGTCTGAGTTTCTTGATCGTCTATATTTTAATGGCAGCTCTTCAGTAGCTTATAATTTTGTAAAGTTTAACCACTGGGGTTATAACTTGAATAATTCTTGTCTCCCTTACACCAAACTTATTTATTAAAATTACAGCACATGTAGTTGATCTTCGCTCAGAATGAGATTTGGCAAAATATTTTTCTCACTTTCAAACATTGTTTGTTATTTCCTGTATAAGCCAGGTAGGATCCAGTACACCTGAACTTTAGCATTTTCTTCTTTCTTCTGTCCTATTGTTCAATGACTGCTTAATGCCTACTGAGGTTATTCTTGCAGTACAGGACACTGGGCCATAGAGGTCTCTGCCACAGTGTTTTTCCATTCAGGGTTAGGAAACAGTTCTTTTCTGCAAGGAACTTTATACCATTTACTTTTGTGGGTAAACCTGTGAAATACATATACATAAAAAGAGGGCCTTGTGTTCACCACTGTATCTCCATGTGCGATGATAACCTACTCCTGTGTTAACACCTAACACATTAGGTCTGGGAGGATGAAGAAGAGGCTCTGAGGGTTTCAGGCCATTTTTCATTCTTTGTTGCACTACCTACACATGCCATGCATTCCATTTAATACAGTTTTTCCATATTTTTTTCAGTTTGTACTATGTAGAAAAAGAACATATAATTAGGTAAGGACTGTATGAGAACGCATTTATACACAGTGCCAAATCATCCATACACACACCAGAGATTTACTTTCTGAAAGCTTGACTTTGCCTCAATGACTTAAAAAATATTCCAAAAAACCTATATACTTATCACTATATTTTTTTTAGGACAAAAAGATCTACCACATAACAGGAAAAAAACCTCTCTGAGGTCAAGCACTCCTGAAATGATCAAACTATGAAAGAGTTCTGTAAATAGCTGGTTACCTCTTAGCAGTGAAGCAGCTTTTTACAATTCTGTCAGGGACCGGACCCCTACCCATCCCCACCTAGATCCATGTTTATGTCTCAAACAACGAGCAGAACACTTTCTAAGGAAGAGACTTCACCAGGAGTGCTTGGGCAGAGCACTCAGACAAAACATTCCTAAAGAAGAGACTCCACCGTGTCTGGGAACTTAGCAAATTGTTACTTGCCTTGAGTGACAGACGCATCTGTCAGGTGGGGCATGGGCGCTGAGGGTTGGAGTAGTCTCCTTGGTGGAGAAGCAGCTGCCCCTCCCCACAAAGCTAACCTGGATGCAGGGCTGCTGCGCTCCCAAAAGGTCAACCCTGAAGGTGACCTGGATGCTGGGCCCCCCCGGAGGGGTGGTCCAGGACTGGACTGGACCAAACTGTATAAAAGGTGAGCTCGAACTGTACTCCCTGCCGACCCATTACCCCCTGGGTCAACCCATCACCACCCCATGCACAGAGTTTCTGCCTGAAACAAAGACTTCTGCCTGAAGAGAAGACACGTGCTGGAAGGAGGGATTGGTGATGTTCTCTGTGTCTCTGTTTGTATGTCTCTGTTTCTCTCTCTTTCTGCCCCTCTTTCTTACTTTTCAACTCTTTTGTACTGTTTAAATTGGTGCTTGCCTTGGAGAAGTTGATTCATGATGTTTTTTTTACAGTTGCTGAGGTAAATAAAATTGCGTTGTATTGTTTCCTGGAGTCACTGTCTGACTCCACCTAGACAGTGCTCCTTTTCAGGGAATCACAAAAAACCTCTCTCGACCATCCACTGTAGTGGGGCGAGACAATTTCTTTGGGTGAAAAAAAACCAAACCAAGAATAATTATTTCTGATTAAAGTCTGTATGGTAATGGTTATGAACTGTCTAATGTGCAAAGCCAAGCTATACAGTCTTTACTACCTAAATTCATCAAACAGAGATTGATTGTTAAGCATAAGTACATGAAAAGGAAGAGCTCTGTTCATAAAGGGAAAAAAATGCAAATGTATTGGCATGTGAAGTTCATTTAGAGGAACAATATAATTCTCATCAGAGCAGAATAATGCTCTTAATGAGCTACTGGGCTCAGTCTAGCAAGTGGTTAAGGTCAGTGTGTTATAACCCCTGTCTCTGATGTGTAGTCCCCACCCAGACTGACTATATCACATAAATGCAACTATTCAACCATTTACACATGGAATTTGTATTTGATCCCCCACACAATCCCTTTTCATGGTGAGAAAGATTCAACCACTTCTCCAAACACAATAAAGGCATTCAGAAGAGCTAACAAGGCAATATGGAAATATTTCAGGAAATATTTTAACCCCATAACTGCTGGCAGAGTAAGTGGAGTTGTCTTAACAAATCTTCAAAAGCTGCAGAAGTTTTTGAGAACTTCAGTCTTACCAATTTGAAAGGAGAATTCTTTCTTCCATTCAAAAATATGAACTGCATGAATCCCTGCTAGTATATTGCTGTATTTTTCTCATCATGTTGTCATCATGATGACAATTTTATGGCACTGAGATAAATGACTATGGGAAATAATTTTATGACCTCTCTGTGACAGATAATGTGCTTCCTCTTTCAAGCTTATTTCCATCTCCCATTCCTTACTGCTGGGAACATTACTTCATTCTCCTTCCTCCTACTTAAGAAAGAAAAGGAAGATGCTGTTTTCTCTTTTTAGTCCTGTTTCCTCCTCTTTACTGCTTGTGGGTGAAAGTTCTTCCTAAATTATCTGCTGTTTCCCTTATGTCACCAGGATAAACCACTTGGAATGAAGTAATACATTCTTTATGCTAACATCACAGATGCAGCACCAGAGGTAGGGGTTTAGTGGCAGTAAACTTAGTGCAAAGTCAATTAAACAATAAAATGTGTTTGTACTAAAGAGGTATCTCGGTGTTTTAGTTTTATCTAGGCACTTTAGAACTTTTTACAAATGTAAGAAACTTTTAATGAAGGCCAGGTGCTACTGACAGGTTTCCAAGTCGGTGATTCTCCCACCAATTATTTTTCTGAGTTGAGCTTTTCAAGGATGTTTTGTTCCAGGCAAGGAACTCCATAAAGACTAACTGAAAAAGAACTGTACCTTATTATTTTCACCTCCCTTTGTAGAAGGGAACTTTTACTTCCCTTTACAATGCCCTGCTTATTGATATTTTGCAAGTTCACCACCTTCAACAGAGAAAATGTAAAATCAGATGAGAGGATCATGTTCAGATGTGAGACACAAGTGAAAAATCTAGAAATGCAATACACTCAGTAATGAAACCCAGTCTTTTTGTTCTGACAGATTAGGACTACCAGGGTAAATGTATCCCCAACTATGCAGTAACTAAATTATACTATTCTAAATCAAGCACAAATACAGGCTGGGCAGAGAAAGGATTGAGAGCAGCTCTGAGGAGAAGGACTTGGGGGTGTTGGTTGAGGAAAAGCTCAACACGAGCCGGCAGTGTGTGCTTGCAGCCCAGAAAGCCAACTGTATCCTCGGCTGCATCAAAAGAAGCATAACCACAGGTCAAGGCAGCTGATTCTGCCTCTCTACTCTGCTCTCGTGAGACCCCACCTGGAGTCCTGCATCCAGCTGTGGGGTCCCCAACATAAGAAGGACACAGAGCTGTTGGAGCGAGTCCAGAAGAGAGCCACGAAGAAGGTCAGAGGGCTGGAGCACCTCTTTAAGGTCCCTTCCAACCCAAACAATTCTATCATTCTACGAGTCTATGATCCTGGAAGACAGACCATGTAGCAGGCATCTCTTATCAGCCATTATCTTCAACCCCAGTACTATTGGCCGATGACTGCTTTTCTAGAAATCGCAAAGTGACAGCTTTAGAGATGGAAGTTCTTCAGAAAACTTGCTTATGCCTACTGTACCACCCTGGTAGGTCTTACCTACACAATCATAGATTTTTGACATAAACCTAACTAACTGCAAGTAATTCTGTGTCCATACAAGACCTCTGAAAGCCTTGGCATCTGTTAGAAAGAACAAATAAAACAACCACAGTATACTCAGTTCGTAGAGCCCCATCACCAAAAAAAGGTCTAAATAATGAGATCTACCTAGAGATACCTGTCTTACAATCATCCTTTTAGCTATAGAGCTGACATAGCTGTGGATGGGAAGGTCAGTCTGTATCTTCCAGGTCTTTCTATTCATCTCAGTGACACCTGACAGCAGTTTGTTCCTTTGACCTTGCCTTCAGGGGCAGCTGAGAGGGAAAATATGCATGTTCTCCCTGAAATTTTTTTTCCCCCAGGGAGAATGATTGGTGCCTTTAAACTATTCAAGCTGTATCTTTCCACTCAATCTGGAGTGACACTTCTTCAACTTAAAAAGTATGGAAGAAATACCTATTCTTGTTTAGCACACCAAGACTTAACCCAGCCAGTGACATGATGGTATGGTATTGTCACTCTGCTTTGGGAGTACAGCAAAGGTTTTTTAGGGCTGAAATGTTGACTTTAGCTAATAGGTCAAAGAAGCAGATGAGCAAAGAAAGTAACACAATGGGACGATTGTAGTAGGCTTTACCTGTTCCTGGAGTTGGACACGGTTCACAAGGTTTGTTCCAGGCTTTCCCAACATTGTATGTGCAGCAACACAACCTTCTGGTCACATTGAAGGGCAGTTCATTCTCACAGGAGGTTCCATTATAGCTTCTGTAGCAAAAGCTTTTCCTCATGTCTAGATGTGAGAAAAGAATCACTTACAAAGTAACCAACAAACTAACTTAAGTAAATATTGACCTCCTACCAACCTAGACAGTGGTTCATTACCTCTGACTTTTGAGTGTAACCCAAGCACCTACATGGATGCATTTAAAAATAATGTAAGTACTGAAGTAATCTACAGGCTTTGCTTCAGACTTATTTCAGTTTTAATTCAAAGACACAAAGGGCAAGAACAAAAATTCCCAAGAAATCAGAAACACACTGTAGATACTCATCAGACCCATTTGTATAGTAAATTCTACCATTTGGAAATAACTACTGAAAATAAAAAAAAGATTTCTGTGTTCCATTAGAGATAAGAGCACTTGAACAACTGCATGTCAGCCATTGGGATCTCTTTCCCGGATAAATCATATGACATAAATTGGGTGTTTAAGGTACGAGAAAGTAATACAAGGCTTTGGAACTGGCCTCATCTAAAAGGAAATTTTAAGCAGAGTCTGGCCCTGAAAGAGTTTGATATTCAGGCAGTTCTACTAAAGATGTAATTTTGCATACCCATGCAGTTACGTCCTCCGTTCACCTGCATATATTCAGGTGGGCAAATGCAGGTGTAGTTCCCCAGGGTATTGTAGCAGGTGCCAGGACCACAGACACCAGGATGTGCAACACACTCGTCAATATCTAGACATCAAGTGGAAACACTACAATTACCAAGGGAAAAGAGGATCAAGCCCTAGCAAGTGTTTCTGAGAAATATGACCATAATAAACCATGCTAAGATAACAAAAAATGTTTTACTTGAAGGCTAGCCTGGAAAGTATAGCTCAGATTTGGGTTAAGTAGCTGTTGCAACAGCTGCTGAAAAAGTAATATTGCTAACCTCTGTTAAATCCAGCCAGTGAAGTGCAAGAGAATATCCTAAATAAATTCCAAGTTGTTGAATTTAACACTGAAACTGGAGCACCTTGTGCCCCATCAGCTCTACAAAAGACATTCACACCCTCTTCTCACAGGAATGTTACTGTCACTTTCTAGTTCTGTTAATGTGTTCACTACTCTACTGAGAAATGACCTTTTAAGTACTCTGTTTAGAAATAGGGAAGCTGAACAATCACATAGGCTTGTTGCTCTAACCTTGGATCTTCTTATTTAAGGTATCTGGGGTGTAAGCCTTTTTGCCCACACAATTATAACTTCAAACCCAATTTGGTCAGTTTTCTTCATGCAAGCTTATCAAAGCTTCAGGATTCTTAGGCTCTGTTCTAAAAGGAGACCATTTTTTTTCTCAAAAAGTGAACGGAGAAGGGGAAGCTGACTTACAACACTCCAAGCTAGAAGAAACCATGAAACATTCTCTACATTTTTGGGTTTATTAACAATTTTTGGTTTTAACACTTATGACAAATCTCAAACACAAAAAGAAGACCAATTTTAACTTTTACTTCACGCTGTCTAAATTAAACTCCTACCCTGAAATACTATGAAGAGGACACCCTTTCTCACTTAAAATACAGGGAGCTTAGTGAAAGTAGCAGGAAATAGAAGGTGCTGAAGTGAGAAGCCAGAAATAATTAATAACCACCTTTGTTTAACAAATGCATATAGCTGAGATCTATAATGTAGAAATAAACATTAGTATATTCAAGTGTTGCATTTCAAGTTTTATATTAGTCATATCACTGGTGCCAAAGATAATGAATTTAGAGGAGATTTTAGGCAAGAGTCTGGGTACCATATCCACTTACAGATTTAAGGCTAAAAATGACAGCGTTTTTCATACTAACTGCACTGTGATAGAGAAGGAGGTTTCAAGGCACTCAACCTTCACAGATTCTTGTCTCTTCACTGAGGTAGTAGCCTTTCGGACATTCACACTGGAAGCTGCCAAAAGTATTGATGCAATTTCCACCTTGGCAGAGACCTGGCAGTTCCTGACATTCATCAATGTCTGAAAACAGAGAAAAACAACCCACCATACTTTCATTCCAGAATGAAAAGAAACAAAACACTTTAAGTACTCCCTGAAATTTTACCAGCTAATAGTTTTTAACAGTCAGGTGGATTTTTTTTTTTGTACTTCTAAATTGCACTTCATGAAAGCATGGATGAGATGCTCGTTCTCTACCATTTAAATAGCTCTTCAGGAGCACATTTCAGCTTGATGAGTCCACAGAGTTCAACTTACATTACTGTTTACAGGAATTTGGCATCTAATTCCTCATTCCTCCACACTTGTTGGAATCAGAGTTTCCTTGTCCAGTAAGTATTTCCTGAAACTTATACCTTCCACAGATAAACTATGATTTACATAAATGATTTATCCCTCAGAAGCCAACTCCAAAGGCCAATGCAAGGAAGGAGGCACACAGAAAGTATGTATCAGCTTATTCTCCTACTGAAATATTCTTGTACATCTTCAATATTCTTTTACAGAATGCCTTTTCATCCTGTTGTTGTCCAATTCATAGTAGTAGAGGGTTTTGCTTTGCACTAAATGTAACAATTTCTGCAAAATATAGTTTCTGTATACATCGCTCTGAATGTGACACTTTTTTTTAATTATGTGCCATCACAGTCATTCATGATAAACTCACCTTCTAAAATAATAGTGATGGGATTTGGTCTGAATCCTTCTCCCCCTGGACAGAGAGTATTATATTCCGCTAAAGTAAAGCATAACAAGAGAGAGCATGTCAGTCATATGAAGAATAAAATGCTAACAACAGAAACATAACATTTCATTTGTGTTTTTAATGAGTCTTCTTCCCTACCCCCACTGACCTTCTACTCTCCTTCACCTATTCATAGTAGATAAAGCAAGCACATTAGATTAGTAGAAAAGCAAGGCAAGACTAAGAGTCCTGCTTAAAACATTACCATAACCTCAGATACTCTTAAGGCAGACATAATGTTTTCTCTGTACTCTGTCTTTATAAAGAGATATTTTGCATTTTGACTAGTTCTTTAATATGAAATATCAGTATACCATTAATAAAGATATGTGCCAAATTGGAATTCATACTATTATGAGACTGTTAAAAACAAGATACTTGACATTTCTGTTGCTTTATTAATTCAAATAACTTCAAAGCTCCATAAAATTGATAAGTATCATCAGGTAAGTTTTGAAAGTACTCTGAGTGACTTATAAATAGTTACCCAACAGTTACCAACACTCTTCTTTGAGAATGACTGCAGGTCTCCAAATTAAATGCATGATTTAGTGCTAAGCATTATTAATTTCTTTGTTTCCCTACTAACATGGAGTTGTTGAGTAAAAATTCCTAGTAAACGCATGCAATCCATCCCATTCTTAAGAAACACAAGCATATCTGCAACTACCTTCTTTTAATGAGAGAAAAGTAAAAGCAAAATAAAATAATGTGCCCAAAACTCAAAAAAGTGCATAGGCCTTGTCCAGTGGGAAGTGCTTTCTGAAGTCCCCACTGATTTATTACTGTGAGAACAGGCACGAAGTAAGTCAGAGAAGACTAAACGATACTGATTCTGATACTCAGGTCCACTTTTCTGCAACACCCCTCTCACAGAAGGGAGGGAGATTTTTTTTTAATAACAGTTTTCATGAAGAAAATCAGTTTCTTAAATTATAAATGTACAGTTATACAGTAAAAGATTTCAAATACTTTTTCGTCCCTTCTTAGCATCTTCTATATTAAGAGCAGGGAGGGACAATAAGAGAACATTTCCTTACTGCTGTTTACAGGGGGACACGTCTCACAGGGGTTTCCCCAAGCCTTTCCCAGAGAGCAGCAGCACGAGGAACGACTGACTCCAACCCCAATTTCAATGTTGCAGGATAGGCTCCCATCCCCGCGCGGTCCATACTTCAGGTAGCAATTGCCAATGCGGTTATCTACATAAAAAGCATATATGACTACAGCTGCACACAATGATACGGACAAAAGAACAGCAGGCATCCATTTCAACCCTTCATATCTAGAAGGAGGAATTCAGATAACATTGTGCTTTTCAGGTTGTTGGCAAGCTCAAAACACTCATGTGCACTGACAGTTACTAATGTTGAGAGACAGCAGGGAAAACAGGTAGCTTCAGCTTGCTAAGTACCCAGAGATGAGTTTAAAATCTTTGCATGTCTTCCAAAGTCACACCATACTCCAATGTAGCACATACACTATTCCCAGTCTTTCACTTCAGAAAATATCACAAACCTTGCTGCATATTTTCCATATTCTGACCATGACTAGGCCATGATGTTTTCTTGTGAACTAGAAGAATTTACATATTTTTCTATGGAATCACAGAATAAAGTCATGTCACTAGAAGAATTCTTCCCCTGGCAAATAAATTGTCCAAAATCATTGATATTGAAACAAATAATCTACATGTGCAGTAGGTTTGAGGAAAATTAGTTTATTAGTTCACTCAAACTGTAACTTAATGATTTAGACAACTGCTGGCATCAGAAGAGTGAGGAAGGTATCTAAAAGAAGTAAAGCTATGAGTTTTCTTACTGCTGCACATGTTGTCTCCTTCTTCTTTATAAACGGAAGTTAACTAGCAGTGAGGCATAAATATAAGGAATGGGAGGATAGTTAATTATAATATTTTTACTACTGACAAATAAGATGAACAATAATTTCCTCAAGAGCAGCATTATAATTCTAAAGATTATTTCTATGAATTAACTTGCTATCAAAGGTTGCCTCTAAAGAAGCACAGAAACACACTCAAAACTTTTTTGACAAATACATTGGATAAATGCCGCAGTACCTTTCTGCAGTTTTATCATTTCTGTTAATGATATGACTAAGAAACTTAAAAATGAATTTTTGAATTATTTCCCAAATTCATATTTTACCAGGAAATACCACATTTTTAATTTACTGCTTGCAGCAACTGCCAGATGCTACAGGCTTAGCAATTTACACGGAGTAAAATGAACACAGTATGACAAATGTAGGTAGTTCATACTTTGAAAATTTTCAGTTTAACAAATTTCTTGATATGACATGGCTTTTAAAATTATCCTGAGGTTTGGGACATATCTATGAAAAAAACTTGAAGGTAACTTTCTGAATTGTTAACAACTACTTGTTCTCAAGATCCTCAAGTTAGCTAAATATGTGTAATACAAAGAACAATTTCAGATTAATTTTCAGACAGTATTTTTTCTAAAGGCTCTTCACACCAATCAAAAGAAAACCTTCAAGCTTTCCAAAGGATTTAAATTTATTCAAATTTAAGCATTAATAGTTTTAAGAGCATACTGTAGCAGAGATTGTGAAAAAGGAGGGTGTTCCTGAGCCCCACATATTCTATAACAAATTCCAGTATCTCACCATAAATGCACACTATAGTAAAGCTAACACAGCTAAGAACTGAGTGTCAGAGGCATATGTATTCTGTATCTCTGAGCCCATGATGGAAAGAGAAGAAACTTCAAGCAGGATATCTTTACCTCTCTAGAGGCAAGATTTACCTGAAATCACGAAATAACATATGTTAGAGTGGAAGTACTTTTTAAGACAATGTTAGAAGATGGTAAAATGAATTGCTTTTTTATAAGGGCACATTCTATTGCTTTCATTGTGGACTTGAGATGAAACAAGCCAAATGTGGTTATTCTAAGAATACCTATCTCCTGTTCTCAGAGGAACTGCATGCTTCTCTCCATTCATGACAGCATGAGACATCTGCCTTTCTAGGAGAAGCCAAGAAGAGTTTTGGCTTAATTCTTCTTAGGAAAAGTGAACCACAATAATCATTTTGGAAGATGGCTTCAGCCCAAGACCTCAGGCCCATTAAGAACAATAGGAGACAACAGACCTTAGAACAAAGACAAAGCCTGGAATTCCCTAATAGAATATCAATAACAAGTCCATCAAGAGTTTTAGGTTTTGGTTTACTTGTCACATGAACTGTCTTGACATGGCACCATGTTCTTCTTTGCCAAGGATAACATTTCTGGTTTTTTCTGAAAGGAAGGGACAGGGAACTGCTGGAGAGAGTCCAGCGCAGAGCCACAAAGATGATTAAGGGAATGGAGCATCTCCCTTATGAGGAAAGGCTGAGGGAGCTGGGTCTCTTTAGCCTGGAAAAGAGGAGACTGAGGGGTGACCTAATTAATTTTTATAAATACGTGAAGGGTGAGTGTCAGGAGGATGGAGCCAGGCTCTTCTCTGTGACATCTAGTGATAGGACAAGGGGCAATGGGTTCAAGCTGGAACATAGGAGGTTCCGCTTGAGTATGAGGAAAAACTTCTTTACAGTGAGGGTGACAGAGCACTGGAACAGGCTGCCCAGAGAGGTTGTGGAGTCTCCTTCTCTGGAGACATTCAAAGCCCGCCTGGATGCGTTCCTGTGTGATCTGATCTAGGTGTCCTGCTCCGGCAGGGGGATTGGACTAGATGATCTTTCGAGGTATAATTCATACAGAATATTATGCGACAGCATGAAACTGGAATTTAAATTCTGCCATCTTTTCTGCTCAAGTGTGCAAGAGATAGTGGTATTGAAAAGAACGAGAAGCTGCTGTCCTTTGACAAGAAGTTTCTGGAACATTTTTCAGCGCAACTTGTGCATTCCAGAAGGAAGAAACTTTCCTTTTTCTTGGTGAGATCTACAGTAAAGTAAAAACTGGGTAATTTTTTATCATGTGTCAGTGGCACAAACATCATTGCAAGTGAACTTGGAATTTGGAATTGCAGTCCTCAGACTATAAAAGAACACAAGCAAACCAAACTTCAGTTCTTCCCTCTTTGGACTGGGTAAGTCAGCAAAGCAGACATACCCAAAGCATACCAAATCTAGAACCAGACTAGTATAGCTGCATTGGAATGGCAATTCTCTCTTTTTCCACTACCTATGCAAAATCTTTTAACCCTCTGGAAATACTACAAATGAGAACTACCGGTGAAAGAAAAAAAGTAAAAAGTTCAAAACCCAACAATGCCTGCAATTGTATAAAATAGTATAACTAACAATGTTTCTAGTTGCACATGGTGTCCCATCTCTTCAAGGGCTTCTAAAAAAATGGCCACAAAAATATAATTTCATTCATGGATTAGGGCTTTATTATTACCTCACTGTGCTATTTCATGGGAAGCAGAGGCTCTGCCTGCCCCCATCAAAAACAAAAGCTGCATGTTCCCTGAGTGTTTTTTACACTTTGTCATAGAGTAAGGCTATAGAGAGAGGGAAAGTGTACACCCCAGGCTTGCAGCTTCTCCCACAGACAGATAAGTGGATTCCAGTTCTGCCACTTTCTGAAGCTGAACTTGAAAAAAATCTCAAAAGCCAACCAAAAACCCCATGTTTGCTCAGGGGGCTAAGTCCTAGGAGTCTCTTTCTGTACAATCAGTCGCTGCGGAACTAAAAATACTTCTTAAACAAGGGAAAGGAAAAGAGTCTTTGTACCAGAGAAAGGGACAGCCCTAGCAGTATTTCCTCAGGACAAAAATAAGGAAGGGTGAAATAGTTTTTCTACCACTTTCTTATTCAACATTTTTTTCTTCAGAGGGGGAAACCTTGCTCTCTCATTTGGGACTCTAGAGTTGTTAGATTTACCCTTGAGTAGGTCCCCTTCCACTGTGGAGGCTTCCTTGAGGAAACATTGGACCCCTGCCAAAAATATTATTGGGAAAACTGGTCCCAAAGTAGACTGCCAATTCAAACTCCCATTTTTTTTAGTGAAACACAGGTCAGCTAGCAGTAGGATAATTTGTTCTCCTCAGCTTCCTCAGAGATCACTTAAATTCTCTGGTCATAATTCAGGGCTTGCAGGGGTGATCATACACAGTATCTGGTTGTAGGAAAGAAGGACTATCTTAGTAGTTATATGCTGCAGAAGGGGAGCTAAAACGGTAGGGATTTAATTGCTTCAACTGAATCTTCAGATGAGGCAAAGCTAAAAGCTTAAGCCAGACTGCAACTGCAGAAGAAAGGTATTAAGGCAGGAATTGTCAGAAGAGTCTATGGGAGAAACACAGGTTTCCAATTCAGTGGGAATAAAATACAGAAATTCACTTTGTCTCTAAAAATTTCAGCTGCAAGTTTTAGAATAAATTGGTCAAGACTGTGGACATCTAAAGACCTCAAAGAGCACTTATTTCAAGCATCCAGAGAAGCAGCAGAGAATATTCATAGGCAGAAAATGGAGAAATGTGGAAAAGATGAGCAATAAAATTGGTTCCAAAGGAAATCTGCATTTCTGTAGAAATTATTTGCTTAGAATATATTTATTTGCCACCACAATCTAATATTATTCCAAATATTTAGCAAATGGATAGAGTTCTAACTACCAATTCAGGAGAATTTGAGTCTTCTCAAGGTAATAAAATAGAAAGGCTGTTTTCCAAATAAAAAGTTAGATGGCTTTCCCAGGACCACACATAAATCATTCTGGCTGAACCTTGGCCCCTCTCTTAACCCCTCTCTTCCCCAAAACTTCCATAGACTGCTAGTATATGCTCTAATCACATGACATCCTATATCATATATCAAGGGGGAAAAGTGTAAGCCAGAGAGAATTACATAAACTACAGTGAAACATGCCTTTACTTTGTCTCCAGCCAAATGGGTACCACAAACAGTTTTAATTCCAGTTTAGACGCAAGATAAACACATACATCAGTCCCAAGACATATCTAGGATTAAAAAAATATGGTTTTTATATAAGAATTGTTGACTATGAGGAGAACGGAAATGCAGATAATATATGTTTTAACAGATTTCAAAAAGGTGATGTTAAAAGACACTGTAAATACCATTAATCAGTTAAAATAATTAACTCCACAACAGGATATACTTCATGTGGAAGTACAATTTTTCTATCTTGCTACCCTCATTTGCATCAAAACAGTCACATTGGCTGTGATTTCTAAACTAACACTTCAGGTAGCTTTTACTTACCCACACAACCCACTCCAGTAGGATTCAGCTGGAAGTCTGGAGGACAATTACATTCATATCTTCCAGGACTATTTACACAAAGACCATTAACACAATTAATGGGATCGGCACATTCATCGGTATCTAAAATAGGAAGGTTATATTTATAAATCTGCTCACTGGGCAGAAAAAAAGAGTAAGTTTACCTTTTAAGACAAAATGGGCACGAAAATTTCAAATGCAAGTGAATTTTAGTTGAAATTGAACAAAAGAACATCATCAAACATTAAGGAATAACCTTTGTACAGCAACTCCAAAACATGCAATTCTACACATTGCTTATTCAGTGGGGAAAAACACACTCTCATTGTTGCAAGAGAATACAATGCATGTTTTTGTGAACTCATCTTTAAATTAACTTGGTGCAACTAAAAAAAAAAGAAAGTCTTTACATATTTCTGAACAGAAGAGATATACCTGTACAGTTTCCCCCGGTTCGATCTAGTTCATAGCCATCATCACAGATACAATGAAACATTCCTGGCAGATTATTACAGGTACCAAATACACATATGTTCTGGAAGGAGCATTCATCGATATCTGAAGGAATGTATTAAGAACAGAAAGTTACATATCATTACCATATTAATATTACAATAGTGTATTGTACTACTAAAAGCAAATGAAGACACATGTAAGTTAAAAAATTATTTTAAAAAGTAACACTGAGTAATCGCTTCTAGGTTTGTACAGAACGCTATAACTAGGGATTTATGAGGCATTCTCCATTAATCTGTTTGTTACTTATGCCTGTTTTACCTACTGTGAATTAAAAACAGCAAAACTGACTTCTCAGGACTCAAAATGAAAGCGAAGTCAAAAAGCCAGTAAGTTCCTTTCAAAATGTGCACTAAAAAGAACGAAGTGTAGCACCCTGCAAAGGTGTCAGTCATTTCCTAGCTCATAATCTGCAACATTTCTTACTAATGGTAAGTGAGATTTTCAACTTCCCCCATTCTTGGGGGAAAAATGTTATACTAAGAAGAAAGAGAGGGAGTAGGCATTGACAGTTACTCATATCTCCTTGGAGAAGGTCTACAGGGTAAAGGACCACCTCTGTACTCATGCAAATTGACGATGAAATAAAGTTGAAAGACACTGACAGAAAATTAGATGACAGCATATTGTCAACTGCAGTGCTAGAAGATGAGTTAAATATTAACAGCACAGAGTGCAAAGTTACGGTTTTAGACACAAACTATAAAGGACTTCTGAGTTGAAGTTAAGAGGGAAAAACACCCTGCATTTATTGTCTAATAGCAAGACTTCTAAACTGCCAAAATAAAGCAGCTCTGCAAAAGGCTAATGCAACTCCAGCATGTACTAGTGAGCTATTAGCAGAGACAGGAACATGAAAGCATTAATGCCATTTTACAATGCACAGCCGCTAAATCTTCATTTGAAATTCTGTGCACAGTGCTCTGTTCAAGACCAATGAACTAAAATTGGACAAGGTGTAAAAAAGGGATATTAAAATTAGAGTAATGAAATATCTATTTTAAACTTGGCTTACTTGCCTTAGCCAAAGATTTAGAAGTGATAAAATGCCTCTTTATAGGAACATATGAGAAGGGGGAACTTTAGAGAGGGAGAGAGAAACAAGTTTTTAAGGGAAAATGAAATTTAAGATAAATGCCTAATAAAAAAAAAAAAGCTTTACAAAGTTATGGAAAAGACTGTATAATTGAGAAGCTAATGTACTGACATCTCAAGGGACTTCTGAAAAATTTGGATGAATTATCTATATTACAATTATTGGACTGAATCCAGGCTTTCAATTTTGTCCCTCGATTGCAGAAATCAGCCAAGGAGTCACCTTATCACAGGACAAATTAATATATCAACTTCCAAAAAAAAGATATCTTAAATATTCAGCACCCAGATCTTTTAGTTCTCCAACAGCACAGTTTTGTCTATGGAATGCTTTCAGATTTCTGTTGGAATCACAGTAATATACCAATATAACAAGCATATATACCAATATAGCAAGCATTTATTTTTCAGAGCATCTTTGTGGATTAATTAAAAAGCCAAATGTTGGTGACTTGCTGTCCCAAAAATTATAATCATATTGTTTTTCAAAACATTGATTGACTGACATCTATTTGGGGATTTTTATTAGAACACTGGCATGACTATAATATGACTTAACTGACTGAGCTGCACTGAGAAATTCAATAAAGATGATTGAGCATACTTGGTAACTACTAGCAGATCTGACCAAAATAATTGCATAGCTAATTTTTCAGAAGCTTCTGCAATTTTTTTACAGCTAGAAGTCTGATTCATACGTCACCTGAATGTTTGAATATGCCAAGTAACGTTCTGAGTTTTAGAGACTACATTTTTGAACCTGTTTTTAATGTTTCAAACAAGAATTTTAACTTCCTAAGACATTATGAGGTTTCCACCACTAAACATGAAATAAGCTAAAAAGCTTTGGAGCAATGGCCAAAAAGAGTTTCTCCAATATACAGTTCTCTTATAGTAAACAAAGAAAAGAAGTAGGAACACAACACAAACCAGATGCTGAACTGGACCAGAATTCCTTTTGCACTTCAGATGATCTGATACAATGTTGAAAGTGAAAGGGTGACGATAAAATATCTTCAGTATGCACTTTAAGGAGTGTTACAAACTTGTCAAATATAGCAGTGATTTGCCTATTTCAGTTTTCCTGAAAACATTTATTTTAAAATGAGGTCACTTAATGCATTTTGTGTCTCCTGTGTAAACACATTAAATAAAACAGTGACGAAGACATTATTTTCCATACCCTAGTGTCATTAGTGACAAAAAGAAGACAAATAATTTAAAAAATGAAATTACTGAGGCAAACGTCTACTCTGAGATTTTTGGATCAAGGCCAGGAAAACTTCATGGAAAGATGAAAGCTACCTTCAACATAATTCACACTGCAAAATAATCTTTGCTTGAAGAAATCACTGATGTGAAGCATGTGCTGAATATTCTGCTTCCAGGTTGAGGTCCTTCCAGTACTTCTTGTTGTCTGCTTTACAGCAGCCAATCCAAACTCAGAAAACGAACTTGAAGAACCTGTGGCTTACCTTGGCATGACTTGCTGTCCGAGGCAGGAGTGAATCCCATCTCACACTCACAACGGTAGGCACCAGGGACATTCAAACACTGTCCATTTTCACACAGATTAACATTTTCTGCACATTCATCAACATCTGTGGGAGACAGAAAATTTATTTGAAACTACATGTTTCACTAGAAAAATACAAATAATATTATCCTGACATTCAAAATAACAGTGCTGTTGAGTATTGTTGATATAAAACAAAACATTTACAACTGAAGACGAAGTAAATTGAAAGAATACAGAAAAGCAAAGAAAGTAATTTTCAGAATTATTGCTTTTACCCTGCCATAATTCCTTACTCCTTGTTTTTCATTAATAGATTTATTTTTTTAATAATGCAAGATTTTCAGATTCAGTACTATTAGCTTTGACAAATAAGTTTAATACTTCGGTTATACATTCAAAACTTTGTCTCTTGGTATATATTGCTATGCTACTTTGACATAAAACACATTCAAAAGGCAAATTTTCTTAAGGAAATCATACATAGAAAATTATTTGCATATGCATTTTAGCAAATATTCTTTGAGGATTGTGAACATTACAACTACATTTGCACACTTGAGGATTCTTACAGTATGCCAGAAAAGTGATTATTTTTTATAACAGGTATAAAAGAGCAGAATGACAAAGGAAGTCTTTCAACACTGCAGTCATCATAAGGACTCATAATTTTGTCAGATATGCTTATGCGTGTCAAAAAAAATTTTCAATATACTTTATTCAGTCAATCTCTAGTATCCCATCTGATTTAAAAAAAAAAATGAAGATCAGTTTTAAAATAAAAAAAATTAACAGAGTGTATTAATAACAGGGATGAAAGTTCTTGTTCTTTAACAACAAACTTGAAACAGTTTATATGATCTTTTTTATGTCAATTTATTTTGAATCACTTGCTCTGTGCTAAGCAATGTTCATTCTTAATAGTGAGCATTTACCAACAAATTTAATTGCAGAGATCATGGGCAATATTTTTCAACTGTAATTTGTTTTTATTTTTAAAAAAGTCCTCTGTTAATGATAAAATCCTGTTCAACTAACATATAGTGAGGGGAAAACAGATGATGCCTTCCTTGACAGAGACAGACCTTGCCTACAAGACAGGAACCATAACAGAGAGCTGGTGTTTTGTGTTCTTGACTAGAGAGCCTGCTGCTGCAAGCAGCACATGCACATTCAAAAAAATTGTCACGAAGATGACAAGGAGGAGGAAGGAGACAGAAACTTCACCCAATAAATGGGCCCCATGGGTCCAATTTGGCACACAAATCAAAAGAATAATCAATTGCCTTTGTTAGTATTTCTTCAGCAGATGGGAAGAATCCTGATCTCAAAAGACACTTCTACTTTTACTAACTTGCACTTTGGGCTTAGATCTAAATTGCAAAGATTCCATACAACAGAAACAGTGACAAGTCAACTTCCACAGACACTTCTTACCAGAACAAGTAAATCCATCCCCAGTGAATCCCTCTGCACAGGCACAGTGGTATGACCCTGGGGTGTTCACACACAGAGCGCTGACGCTGCACTGGTGGGTCCCATTGGCACATTCATCAAGATCTGCACATCACGGGCAAAAGAGTGCAAGCAGTAACAGAACAGTTATTATACCTGGCTTACTATTAACTGTCAAGCTAATACATGCAACTGCAAAGATGATGTATGTCTTCATAAACATACAAAGTTCTCATTAGAAGATTCAGCGTTGACTTATAGTGATTTCATTTTAATATTTCTTCTTTTAAATTGCATGAGATTGGGTAAATGTTTCCAAGCAACAGATGGAATTCAGCTGACTCATTACTTGAATGTTAAAGAACTTGAATTCAACATGAGTTAAAAATCCAATAAACTACAGAAATACAGTGGGGTGAAAATCTGCCATACATTTGGAGAGTATTCTCAAGTAACAGGAGAATGTGACAACAATGTAACCCCATGAAGGTTAAAACAAGCTTTCACATTTACTTGGTCAACCTGAATGGAAAAAAAAAACAAACCAAAAACAAAAACAAAAGAAAAAGTAAAAAGACTTTACTTCCCCTCAAGAGCATGTTTGATGGGAATAGCCATACGGGTTCATGACATATGAGTCACACTAGCTAGTGCTATGAGCTAGCCAACAGTCCCTTCTCACTTGTCTGCAGAGTGGTCTGGAAGAACATCCCATACCCACAAGCTATTTTTAACTACAAGGATGATGCTGGAAAAACTTTTTAAAGTTTTCTCCTTCAAATGGGACTTTTTTTATTTACTTAGTAAAACCTCACATATTTTTAGTGAAATGACAATAATAAAGACCATGGGGCCTTCCCCTTTTTCTCAGATATGGCTTTAAAATCTTCGAAAATCTGGCCTGCAGTAAAGTCTCATAATATGGTACATTTTCTTTCACATATTACACCAATAAAACCTAATTCTTAAATGAAGCTCCTCTTCCATGAATCCCAAAATGTTCTGAAAAAAAGGTATATATTACAGTCTTTTACACACCAAACTAAAAAATGAAGGTAAGGGTAAATTATGCTACTCTAGCAGCCCAGAAAAAGTAGAATCAGGTTTCCCCATACCTCAAGTCCAATCTGCTCTATATTAGGGCCTATTACCTAGATATACTATGGGACGTTTACAAAAAATGATATTAAGTAACAGAAATAATATCTTACTGGCAGGAAATCACAGAACAAATTCCCTTTTATTTTTGACTGATTTTTTTGTTTTGCACATTCTAGCAGTTGTTTGTTAACTTTGTAAAATACATAGCTAATTCAGTAAAACGTTACACAAACAGGCTTCTGAGACAAAACCAGTTTTTTTTCCTCAGAAAACCAAACCCCTGAAACATGGGGTTGCATGCCCATCTATCCACAGATATAATAATCATTTTTTTCTAATAGAGTCACATTACATGCTTTAATTAAAAAAGAAAAAAAAAGAAAAAAAAAGGAAAAAAGAGAAAAGCTTTCTTTTCTGTATACTCACTTACCAATACATTTAATGCCATTTCCAACCCATCCTTCTCTGCAAGTACATTTAAAACTTCCTGGTACATTGATGCATGAGGCATGCATGTCACAGTTGTGAGCAACAATTTCACACTCATCCACATCTACAAGCACAAAATAAACTATTAGTATTTACATCAGGAACACCAGATTTTCCTTTACATGTTGCTTATTTCCACCGTGCAGGTTTGCAGTCCTTTAAAAAACAAACATTCAAGACAACAGAATAATTCAAGCAGGTTACTTTGTATTATACATTAATAAAACATAGTGACAATTGTATTTTAATTTTATTCTTTCTTTGTAAACATGACAAGATCAGTCTGCTTTTGTACAACTGCTTTTCAGTTTGAAATTAAATCTGTTTTCCAGACATATTATATATTCTGATCTTTATATGTCAAAAATGGGATCAGACCCTTGGGTGCATAGGCATGTTTCAGTTATAAGAATGATTAGTCCAAGATTTCAGTAATTATAGAGTAAATTCTTAATGGCCAAATTACAGGAGAAATTCTATCAACTTTCCCAGATTACTTATTTTGGATAAATTTAGCTTCCTGAATGCACTGAAACCAGCTTGCAGAAGACAAGATACTGATTAACTATCACAGGAACTCATAGACTTCAAAACTGACTGATTATGGTTCTTTAAAATTTGTTAGCATGGGTTGAAGAATGGCATATACTTCGCTTTCACAACACCACATTTTTCATTATTTTACTTTTTTTTGGTCCTGTTCTTGGACTACAGGGTCATTTCCTGCAGCTTTAGTTGACAGGTAAATTCATACTTCAAGTATGCATGACAAATGAGTACTGATAAAATACTTCATGCAGCACTGCCCACCCAAGCTATCTTTCGTACCACAGATATTCCAATCTATACCAATAAAAGCTTTGTCTTTAAAATTACAGTTATGTAAGGGGCCTCTCAGATAATATTTATACTGATCAAGGAACATACATTTTCAAACTCTGGATACATGCTGACAAATGTAAAATATTTACTCTTATATTTACTATTATGTACAGATACCAATCTCTCACTTGTATGTGAACAGTTGTGCATTTATTTTAATAGAAAGCCAAACAAGTTATGTGCAAACCATAAAAAATATGCTGGAAATTTGCTTTACCTGTGCATCCAGTGGTTCCTTTCTTGACTGAATATCCTAGCTGACAGTGACAAATGAAGGAACCTTTAGTGTTTTCACACTCCCCATACATACAGATGTTGGAATTCAAATCACATTCATTCACATCTGTAAGTGCACATAAATTCATTATTAGTTGAACATTACTGTGATTTAACAGCATACTTTGTCTTTTTGGAATACTTTCATTCAGGTGAAAATATCAGAAGCATGGTCCACCCTACGATCTGGCATTTATTAATCTTCTTCATAATATATTTCAGCTGTTCCATTCTATATTCTTTTAATTCCCTAAAAACAAGGATGAATGTGTAGTCCAAATACCACAGTGTTTACTAATTTGTTTAGAATGCAAATTATTGGACTACAAAGTCAATTACTTCTTACAAGAATCACTTTAAAGCATTTTTTAAAAACATGTTCTTGACAATAATTTAGCTATAATTTTCTTCCAAAAAAGAATTTACGCAGTAAATTGATCACTTTTCCTGTACAGATACTATCTACAGGTTTCAACTTGCATATTTTGGTCACTATTTAAAACTGAATAATGTTATATACAGGTGTGTCAATATCTCTGAATAGCAGTTGTCAAAATCATAAAAAATAAAGTAAACTCAGTTTTTTTAGTAAGAATTCAATTTAGGAAAGACAATGAAACTTATGAAACAATGAAACTGGTATAAGAACAGACTAGAATTCAGCACCTGTCGAGCAGATAATGGAGGAGTTTCATATGGGTGTTCTGAGACATACTGCAGTGGGGCCAAATGACCCAAGAGCTTTTCAAATACCTTGTCCATTATTTCAATTTTTCCCTTGAAATGATATTAACTAATAGTATTATACAATGACATTAAAGAGAGTCACTATACTGTGGATGAAAACACATTTCTGGTATTGTCCTTCTGAGTGAAGTAAGATGTCATGTAATGCCAAAGCAGAGGCCCACATCCCATATAAATTAAAAGCGTATTAATTGGGATATAATTACTATTAGCTTGCCTTAAACGCCAATATAAGCATGCCAAAACACTGTAACTAGTACAATAGCATGGTAAGTATTGTGTAATATTGTGATGGCATAGCCAGACACAGTTTTGCATAACGATGTGAGCAAGAAGACTGCCAAAGGACAAAGAAACGTGGGCGTAGATTCATGTATAACAATCAAAGTCAGAGAAGTTGCCAAAGGACAATATAAGCACAAGGGACTGCAAATAGGCAGGAAAACCTCACAGGTACACCAGAAGAATGACTATCAAGACAAGAAAACAAGGTAAGCCATAAAAGTAATAGAAGGAGGTCTCCTTTTGGTGAGGGCAGCAATAACATAAAACATAAGCATGGAAAATTGGAGAAGAAAGAAGACAAACACAATTCAGTTCCAGCTTTTGTTGTAGACAAGCACTCAAGCGCCATCATCTTGACCTTTGTGACTAAGTAACACCAAGGGCTGGAAGCTGGTCAATGCAAACTACGCGTAACAGCTCTGTGGTATAGTATATTTGCATATAATTTATAATGTGATTGTTAAAAACTAACAGTTTTGTATGTGGAGTGATAATTATCAATACTGTGTAAGAACTGAACATTGGCAAATGTGTTGTTATTAAATTAATTTAGCAAAATTTAGTTTTGTATCTTAAAACAGGGCTGATTTGGTCAGTCTTCTAAATACTCTAATTACAGCAAGCTTTATTTCCCTAGTATATTCAGTTGCCACAGCATGAGGCAAAGGAAAGCTGCCATGTTCTTAGTCTCCTCAGTTGTAGGAACTGTAGACCTACCTTTGTACTTCTGCTTGTTGAGACACCCCTGGAACATAAGAACTAACCTGCTTCTTCCAAAATCTCACTGGAAAAGCCTGAACTATGACACCTATCAAATAGGGAACTCCCAACACCACAGGGAAACTTCAGACTCCTTCTCGTACTACTGCATGGCTATGAGTAGCTCTGGCACAGCCTCACATTTAGGTTTCGGATAATGCCTCTGGATCATTGGCAGCTTTTTAGTACAGACCTGTACCTACCACTCTGTTATGCCACTAGAAAATGCATACTTAGGGAATAATTTTTATTAATGATCCCATGTGTGTATGTGTGTGTGTCAGGGTGAATTCATTGCTGACATGAAACCAAGTCCCTCTGAATGTGAAATAAGCTGAAAAAAACTCCAAGACATTTCAAGAGAGGAAAAAAAAAAATCAAAATGTCTTTCAAAGCTGAGGTCAAGCGGGAATGAAAGGTCAACAACAATTTCCTTAATGGTGTTGCTGAAAGCAAAATTGTGAGAGGGTAAAGCGCAGAGACATTAAGAACATGCCCTTGAGAAGAAAAGCTTCCAAAAGTTAGAGCTATCTCTGGCACATACAAAGACACAAAGCCACCACAAAAGCAACATTCAAGGAGAATTTTCAAGGGAAAGACCCTTGCAGAAGAACAAGTGATAAGCCACAACCATATCTAAAAAAAATAGTCACAAGAAAAAATAGGGCAACAGGACTCTAGATGTACTCTTCTGCCAGACCCCCTTCCCAGGCACCCAAACTTTCCATTAGGAAGAAAACCTCTCCTAAACAATAATGTCATTTGTATGTGAACTGTGTTTTAGCTTCTTATACTGCACGCTAAGTCTTCAACACAGGCTTTCAGCTATAGCTCAAAGCTTTAACGTTATTCCAGAATATATCTTATTTGAAAGCTAAACAGTTTATAATTAAAGATCTGGTTAAAAACCTGTAGTTAAAACATAGTCTTATTATGAGTTTATAGAATCATAGAATGGTTTGGTTTGGAAAGGACCTTCAAGATCATTGAGTTCCAACGCCCCTGCTGCGGGCAGGGACACCTTCTACTAGACCAGGTTGGTCAAAGCCTCATCCAGCCTGGCCTTGAACACCTCCAGCTGTGGGGCATCCACAACTTCCCTGGGCAGCCTAATCCCTATGTCAACTTTTTGACCCTTAAAATAGCTCCAATTTTACAATAGTTAAATGGCAAAGATAACATAATTTCACATACTGTCAAATAAATATAAGGTATTGCAAATATACTTTGTTGAAAGTAGTGTTAGGTCTAGCAAGAAACTGTAGTTACCCCAAAGACTTTTTGACAAGCTTGGTGATGCTGTTAGCAAGGAAAGCAATTACATACATGGCAGAAATTCACACTTCCTCGTTGCAGGATATTAACCTTAATATCAGATACTGTTTTCCTAGAGAAGAACATTTGAGAGCAGTTGTGCATAAAATGAAAAAAGTATTCTGATTTTACAGCTGAGCTGCTAACATGGCCAATATGAAAAAAGTTATTGAAAAGATCAGTTCTGAACTTTCAAGTTAGTTGCGTACACGGAGTACGTGTGCAAAACTGAAAACAAGAACCTGGAATAACATAAAAGTGAAGTTGAAAAAAAAATCTTAAATTCAACTCTAACTGTGGAAGGAAGGAGACAAAACCAGCTCAGGACAGCTTTTCTCAGCATTACATATAACTAGTTTCTGTGGGAGTGTACACATGTGCGAAGTGAAGGTTTGTTTGACAGATGCTTACAAAATATAGAAAGATGTTATCAGTATAGCCTCGACCACCTTAAAATATGAAACACATGAAACTTCATATTAAATATAAAAGGTAAGAACTTCGTATACACCAAGACAAACTATGTAGCTTAGGTTAATTTGAGGAGATATGTTTATTTTAATTTCTTTATAATTACAATAACTTTATGTAGTTGAGGGAATAAGCTAAAACATTTACAAGAGACAGAATAAAATGCTGGGGCACTCAAATAATCTCTTCTCAATAGAGATATTTTACAGGAATCATATAATTACAACTAAATCACTCTTATTTTTGGAACTATGTGATTTGATTAGTCTTTATGGACTTTTCAAATCTTTTCTTCTACCCTTCCTGATGACTGTAGTGATAGGTATGAAAGATGTACAGATTATTTTTTTAACAATGTACATAGTTTCAATATCCACTTTCAAGAATTCAGCAGAACATCCTAAAACATTAGCTGCAGAATTCTTAGACTTGCATTAAATTTGCTGCACACATCTACTTACCAATACAAGTCTTCATGTCCACAGAAGCCATAAATCCATCATAACAGAGACAGCGATACTCCCCGGGAATATTAGTACATTGCCCACCATCACAGATATCTGGATTGTTTTCACATTCATCGATATCTGGGAAAAAAAAGTCAGATAATATTTTTGTCACTCCAGTACTTATTGGATAAAAGAATACCACGTTCATATTGTCTGAAAGATATGATGCTAGAACTTTTAAGATACTAAAACCTACCTGCACATGTCCTGACATCTGGCATTAGAGCATAGCCGTCACTGCAGCTACATTCATAGCTGCCTTCTGAGTTAGTGCAGTGGGTGTCACAGCCTCCATTCATTATCATACATTCATCAATATCTGGGGAAGCAACATTAGTAGTCATGAGTCTGCTTTTATAAGGAAAAGTCATCTCTCTTGCCATTTTACTTAGCAAATGAAAGAGTTTTTCAGTGATATGATTCTGAATTTGTATTCTCACTCTACTCTCTCTGATTTACATTTTGTTCAGCTTTCTCCCTTTCAACTGCATTTTCACCTGTGGGAGCAAGTAACTACTTTTAGTTGTTGCTTTTTTCCATATATATCACCAGGGATGTAAAAAAAAAGTGCAAAAGACAACATGTGGACAGGACAGAAAGAAAAGCCCTAAGAAACTTGAAATGTAGCAAAAAAAAATATTTTTGCAAAAAAATAAACAAAACGAACAAATAAAAAAACCTCTCAATACTTCTGTCCAGCTTACCAATGTGATGACAACTACACACTTCAATAATACTATAGTAGAAGGAATTAAGAGGTGTATACAAAAAGGAGAAAAAGTGAAAGAGAAACTATCAGTGCATGGGGCTCTTCTTCCTTGATCAAGAAATCAAGCAGGATTTTCTGGTTGTTAGCTCAGGCCTCTGATTTTGATGGAGTAGTACCATAAGAATATTTTTTTCTCAGAGTATTCTGCAGAGTTCAGAGCAGTAACAACCTTTTTATACCTTCTTTATATTTCTAAGGTAAAACAAGGGTCCACAATAGTTCATGGTATGCCTAATAGAAGATGAGAAGATGGTTCTGCTCAGTTTCAAAAGGAAGGCATGAAATTAAACAAAAACAAAGATTAACCAGTATGCACTGAAGCACAAATACATAGGTGAAAGTGTACAACACTTGCCTACGCAGCCTTGTCTGTCAGGAGTGGACTGGTACCCGGAGTTACAGGAACACTGGTATGTTCCAACCATGTTCACACACTTGCCATTTCTGCAGAGACTGTCACTTAAAGAGCACTCATTTACATCTGGAAAAGAATCATAGCAATTACTTGTTATACAGAATGCAGACTCTAACGGCTCAAACGCTGGAGAAAGAGGGTGAGGGGTAATATTTTAAACTGGTGGCTTTCAGGCTTTTTCACTTTCTTTCTCATTCTTAGCATATTTCAGTTCAAGGTATGGAGCTCTGAATAGTGTGTTTAAGCCAGTGTCCAAAGGTTCATCTTTGTTTCTGGTCTGTGAGCATTAACTGCACAGTCTGCTGGTTTAAACCAACTCTTGAAGCAACTATGCATCAAACACAGAAATCAAAGAGTTAATATGCTTAAGTTTTTTGCATTTTTTTAAACAATTTTGAGAATTATGTGCAAAAAGGAAAGCTGCATTTCAATATGGGAGAATAAATTTTTCTTGACTGTAGGAATGAAGTTGACTTTGTGTTTGTATGTATTTTACATACAAGTTGCCAACACGAGTGATATAGTCCTTTGAGTTGCTAAATAATCCCTGAGAGGACAGGTAAAATACTCTTCTTTGAATCATAGAATGGTTTGGGTGGAAGGGACCTTAGAGATCATCTAGTTCCAACCCCCCTGCTATGGGTAGGGACACCTCCCACTAGACCAGGTTGCTCAAAGCCTCATCCAGCCAGGCCTTGAACACCTCCAGGGATGGGGCATCCACAACTTCCAACATCACAACTTGAAGTCAATAGTGTTAAGGGCACTGGAGATATTACGCGATCTGTTATACAGTTTTAATTTGAAGCTACTCATATAAAGGTGCAGCATGAATTTGTATAAGATATTCCTGAGACCCCATCCATGCCAGAGACAAGAAGTTTTCACAGCACAAATGACCACTCTTTCTAGAAAGATGAATACTATTGTTCTGAGTTGAAACTCACCTATGCATTCCTCACGTGATGGTGACAGCTCATGTCCCAAAGGACAGTCACACTGAAAACTCCCTTCTGTGTTCACACATGTGCCACCTCTACACAGCAGAGGGTTGCGTTCACATTCATCAATATCTATGAAGAAACCATGTTAAACAAATACAAAATAATTACTAAGGAGCAAGAAAGAGAAAAGCAATTCTCAGTGTCATTAAGTAACTAAATCTGGAGGCCAGAATAAAGCAACTGTTTCATTAAAGCAGTGCTGCTCCTTTCCTCATACAGCATAACTAAAAACTATATATTTTTAACTCTAAAAATGGGTATTTTTCCCCTCAAGAAAATAAGAAATCCATCATTCAAAATTACTATTCTAGGAGACACAGAACACAGAAGACAGCAATGGTTTGGATGGTTGCCATTTAGAACAATGTATGAATGTGATGAAATTTTCAAAAAAGTGCTTCTTAATGCAACCATACTCATTTATGTATGCACGGAAATTGTTGTCTATGGATGCTGTTAATGGGGATGCCTATTCAGTTTAATAACCCCTGTGTATGTCATTGTGTGGCTGAGAAATATGATTGCTACAGCCTATAACAGCAAACAATGTTTGACTCACAAACCTGATAAAACCAGCTAACACTGCAGTTGTGGATGAAGAGAAATATGACCAAAAAACATTCAAGGCACAGGATGCACTCACACTTTTGGACTCCCAGAAAACATTACGGCTACCTATCCTTTAAACTTGGAGACTTTTATTCAGATAGGCAGACTAGTGGTATCTTTCACTTGCCTGAGAATTTAGTCAAGACACCTTTGAGTTTTGCAGGTTATCCACACGAGGGGAGAAACTGCCCGATGAAAGAATTCAACACTCTTTTTGCCATACTCTTCCTTGGATAGTTCATGCAGCTCCAAAATGTTTTCATTGAACATTATGCCCTCCTTTTCTTAGTTTCTGCAAAAGGCCCTCAAGAAGTAATTTCTCTTGTCTCTTCACTCTTTGCTTATTTACCTCATATCTTTTCTTACAGGTGATATATCTCAACCAGAGAGTTTCAGAGTCTAAAAGCATCACAATTTGCAGGAAATCAAGTAAAGGTAACAGGGGGCCTGCATGGCTTCCTAGCACACTGGGGCATAGGACCACTTACTTGAGTTCCATTACAAGCATGAAAGCTCCTGATAAAACTTGAACACAAAAAGGAAGCATAAAATGGGCAAAAGCAGGGACAGGTGATGCAGGAGAAATACAGAAGCACTGTCTGAGTGTGCAGGGATGGGATTTGGAAAGCCAAAGCCACCAGGGGTTGACCCTGGCAAGGGATGTGAAGGGTGTAAGAGTAGCAGTGAAAAGATGACGGGACACGGGGGAAGGAAACTGGTGACAAAGGACAGGGAAAACATCCATGAGTGCTGAGAGTGAGCTGGCAAATGTCATTTTGAGGCCACTCTTGACCATCCATGAAAGGTCATGGAAATTAGGCAAGGATCTTTAGGGTGGGAGGAGAGGAAATATCAATCCAATCTTCAAGAAGAGCAAGGAGGAGGACCCACCCATTCAACCTCATCAAATGAAAATCTCAGCCATTGTATATTTCATGATGTATTTCATGAAGTACTCCACAATACTAATTCAAGATTTTTTAAAGTGGCTAGTAACTTTTGGTCTCTCCATACATCTTACAACTTTAGACAGATTATAGAGATGTCATTTTTCAGGAAATGCTCTCAGAATTTGGGTCCTTGAAGAATCAAGTAAAAGTGAATCACACTACTTTTGAAACTCCAGCCTTCTATTCCTAACTTTACCAAATGTTTGGATACCTCATTAGCCTTTTTTAAACTACATGAATGAATAGTTGCTGCCATTATAAAATATCTATACAGAAATGTACAAAATTAATTAGCAAAAAGAACAAGCAAAGCTATATGTATAGTTCAGTTATCTGTACTATAAACTGTGTATCCGTCTCATTTGTTCGAGAAGTCACAATAATTATACATATGATGTGTTCAGTGGAGCAGAGCTAGAATAGCACAGAGCACAGTCAGGCTTTGTACAGTAAATGGACAGACTCCAGGTCATCCTGGCAATACTTACCCATACAGTTCTTCATCATCATAAATCCACTTTCATAACCATCAAAGCACTCACATTCAAAGCTACCAGGAGTGTTGACACAAGTACCACTTCCACATAAGTCCGGGGAGATCCGGCACTCATCAATGTCTATTTTATAGTAGTAGAGGTAGAAAAATCAAACAGAGTTTAAGGTTATCCTGCTTTTCACAGAAGTAAATACTTGGCCATTATAAATTAACTCTACAGAAATAAGATACAGTATATAAATAAACAGAGAAAAATGAAATTAATTTAATATTTAAAGGAATATCTGATTATGTAAAACAGTTTGTGAAAGATTCATAATGCAAGACCTCTCAACTACAGATTAAACTATGTAACAAGTAACAAGGCTTCCATTAAGTGTAATTTCAGGTTAGATTTCTAAGGAAATTACTAACTGTAACAAATTCTGTGTTGTTATTATTACAGAGGTACCAATTGACTCCATGGCTACAGTGCCATTGATATTAAATTGCTTATTATTAAGACATTCATCCAGTAATACCATTATAAGCTAACATATACCCTTTCCCTTAGGAACTGAAGTAGCTCCTATATTTACAGTTCACTGGTTTTCTTATGAGTTAACTCTGAATGAAGCCTACTGTGGAAGGCTGTAGAACTTGTGCAGGTTTGTAGAAAGTAAAAAGAAAAGAGAAGGAAGAGCTCTTTGTAAGACACACTGGCAGTGAGGGAGGCAGCTAAAGAAGAATTTGTAATATGGATATGATGCGGTGAAACAGGTCAGTGTTGAAGGAGAGGACTGGAAAGAACTGGATAGCCTGTGGTTTACTATCTCCTCACATTTTTCCAGACATCTCTCTTCCTTACTCTACTGCCCATCCAGTGTTTTTAGGGTGAACTAGGGTTCAATGCTTTTGTTTCATGTTCTCTATTACACCCTCTACCTTCAGCTTCATTCATTACTGTGTCATCAGTCATTGCTTACTAAGAAGTCAGGAAGTCTTTACAGGGAATAAAAACAACAGAATATTTGAAACAATTAAGACATTAGTCCAGGAAAGGGCACAGGATTAGTTTTGTCATCCAAGAAGTCCAGGGAGCAGATAATCACAGAAAAGCATCAACATGTTTGCAGTAAGCTGGTGAGCTGGGCAGTAGACTCATTTGTGTAAGTGGCTGAGGAAAACTAGGTAAGTATAAGCTTAACTAAAGAAACTGCTAGAAGATTTAAAACAGTTCTTTTTTTCACCACATGCAAGAGTGTATTTTCCATCCGTGTTACTCCCCATGGCCAGGCTTCTGCTGGGTGAAGACAGTTCAGTCCTCACACACAGATGTGTGGAGGGGTCAGATGGTAACCTACGTGGTGGGCCTGGCATGTTTCTATCTGGCCTCCTCCAGGCTTTATAAAACATGTTGTTGCTAATTTAAAACAAACAAAAAAAAAAGTCTTCTGTTTAATAAAACCTGGTTCTCTACAGCTGCTTGGTGGAACATTTTCATCAGAACAAATTTTAAATGGAAAACAGAACCAATAAAATCTTTCGTAGGGAGAAATTTTCTAACCTACTCTTGTTAGTTCAGCAATAAAGTTTGTTAAATGCCTTTTTCATCAATACAATTGCTACAAAAATAAGGAAATCACCAGTTTGGGCAACATTAACATCCAGACCAAACTCCGTTAACATGCCTTACCACCCACACTTCATATTACTCAGACTCACTCATAGATGCCTGTGTGGTATAACAAAAGCTCCTTCATTTTCAGCACAGCCACCCACAATGCTGGCATCCAGGTTCTCATAATCAGAAAACTATCAAACTTATCTTCTGTTTCAGTTTTTCCAGGCAGTAAATAACAAAATATTAAACTTAAATTAAATGCACGTCTCTTCTTGAGTTAACATAGCAGTGATGTCAGAATTGCAGAGGTGCCTCTGTATGTGCTTGGCTATCAAATCTAAATTAAAATTAATTTGCAGTAGAGTTCCTTTGGTAATACAATGACCAGAGAGTAAGGAATGTAAATTAAGTTAATCTGTAGGTTAAAACATTGAACTTGGCTTCACTGGTGTTCTTTATTTAAAGTTGTACTGATAGATCATGACCCAAGCATCTTTAACACCAATTAAAAAAAATTTCTAATGTATGTGTACAAGAAGAATGTTACATTTATTAAAGAATCACTTTCTGAAAGGGAAGCTTAAGACAGCTGGCCATTTTGTCCAAAGATTAAGCTCTTAGAAACTGAAGGAAATGCAAGTTCCTTTAAAATGCCCCAGGGACGTGGTAGAGTCCCCATCACTGGACATTTTCAAGAGGGACAGGGTGCTAGATAATCTCATCTAGGCTTCCTTTCCCACGGAAGGTTGGAGTAGTGATCTTCTGAGGTACCTTTCAACCTGGACTATTCTATGATTCCAGGAAAAACTGGGGAAAATGCAAGACTTACCTGTACAGTTTCTTTCTTCCATGTCTAAAGTAAACCCACTGTTACATCTACATTTGAAACTTCCAATTGTGTTTCTGCATTTACCATTCATGCACATACCAGGAAACACTTTACATTCATTGATGTCTATGAAATAAAAACAAAAGAAAAGAGCATTCTTATGCACAAATATATATATCATTAATGGGAATTTCCTGTTCCTTCTTACCAATTGTACTGGGCATAAAAGGCATGGTTTGGGCTGCAAGGGACTGGAGGGATGGCCTACTCCTACACAGGTTAGGAGAATGGAGAAATGAAATGGAGGAGGCAAGCAGGGGGGGACATTGGTGGAGACACGAATGGAGATGCACAAGAGGATTCCAGAACTCCATGTCCGAGGAGGAACCTCTGAGTGAATACAACCCCTGAAGGACGTATGACAGGGCAGAGACAGGACTGCAGCCTGGGGAAGACCCACACCAGGGCAGGGACACCCCTGAAAGACTCAAGCTGTGAGTGACCCATGCCAGGGCAAGGACATGCCTGGGGGACCGTGGCCTAGAGGTGACGCTAGCAGGGGCAAGAACACCCTGAGGGACAGTGGCCCATGAAGGATGCATGCTGGGGCAGAGACATCTCTGAGGGATTGTGAGTGACCCATATGCAAGCCCTGCTGCAGTAATGAGATCCCTGAGGGACTATGACCTGTGGGTGATCCATGCTGGGGCAAGGACACCCACCAGAGACTACAGTACATGAGTGACCCACACTGAGGCTGGGACATCCTGAAGGAGCATGGGCTGTGGACAACCCATGCTGGAGCAGGAACACCTTTGAGGGCCTCTGTCCCATGGAGGAGTCCACTCCAGGACACAGGAAATGAGTAAGAAGGAAGGAGCAGTGCAAGAAAAGAGTAAGCAACAAGAGGTGACAAAGAAAAATCGTCACAGTGTCCCCAAGCCTCTGTGCTGCCAACTGCCTCACCTAGGGGGGGCACACACCGGGAAGGGCAGAAGAGAGGTGCTGGGCTGAAGCCGAGCTTGAGGGTAGGGGAGAAAATATGTTTTCCAACCTGTCGAATTGTTTATGGTTTTGTTGCTTATCAATACCCCAACCAGTAACTAAAAGTTTACGTTAATCAGAAATCAACCAAATTCAGTGAAATTCCCTAAGCTGAGACTCTTTTGCCCACAATGCCAATAAGTGTATCGTGCTCTACTTTGCTTCCCAACACAATGGACATTCATGGTGTTCCTGAGCCAGCTGCTAAAAAATGTAACTATTACCTGGTTGGTTCATTTTTTTTTTTTTAATGGAGATTGCCAGACAGACATCTCAAGCTCTTTTTAGAAAAGGGTAATTTTTCTTTTGTAGAACACCAAATTAAATGCTTCATCTCTTCTAAAAGCAGTTTGCTGAATGGCTGGATAACATGAGCTGTTAAAGGATCTTGCATAGGACAAATAAAGGTTTTTCATGTGTCATGCCCTCTCATATATATCTCCCCAACAGCACTTACAAACTTGAATGAGCTTTTCTTACATTCTGTGATGTAATTTGCTAGGTGAACGTCCCTACCCAAGAATCATCTTTGATGAAAGAAACTTGTATCTCCTATGTATTAGTGTAAATGGAAGAAAAGTGTGGTCCAAATAAAAAAGCAGAAACAAGCAGCAAAACCTTACAAAAATCTTGATGTAGACAAAAAATGCATTATTACCAAATAATTAAGAAATCATTATTTCAAAGTAAATACATTTTAATAAACAATTATATTATTATTATTAAAGTCCTTATTTGTTTAGCAGACCACCACTGAACATTCAGAGCTTTGCCGGAGAACAATAACTCCTGAAAATCAGACCTTATTTATGGTGAAGCAGAGGTCCAATCTGTTAAAGTTTTCTCAAGTAACTCATTTCAAGACAATGCTTCAGAATACACCCTTTTAGAAATAAATACAATACCAAAACGTTTCCAGATCACCTCAGCTTCTGCACACAGAAATTTACAGTTTTCCTTTTCAGATCTCAGTCACCTACAATATCTCAGATTTGGGTTTTTTTTTTTTTTTTTTAACGTTTTCCAGCCTTTTCCTTTTAATCACTTACTAATTCTGCAAACCACAGAAAATAGCACATCCTTCTTCATTCTCTCTTTCAGAGAAACCTGGACAAATTTCAGTAATATTTTATGTTAACTCTCTGACTTTACAGAACTTTATCTGACTCTCAGTCCACTCTTTGCAAAGCACTACCTTAAAAAAGGTGCACATTTTCCATTATTCATTAGAATAACATTTAGAGCTCCCCGCTTTAGTCCTGTCATAGTAATATCCTTTATCTCCGTATCAAATTCTAACTTCGCACCTTTTCCTTTTAGGCTCCTGTAACACTCTTGAGCACCATGCAAGCAGAGAGTTTCCCACCTGTAAGGTCATCTCTTTCATGCAAACACCTTTACAACATCTCTCATCTCAAATACGTAACAAACAATCCTGGCATTTACTTAGAATATTCACCCAGACATACCTATAACGAATTTTTAGATCCAAGACTGAACTCTTACCTTTATAAAATGGCCTGCCAGTTAGAATATCTCCCCTGTTGGAAAAGCCAGGACCTCTAGGGCACAGAGCCTCGTATTCCTTGGTGTCAGGCTTAGGACATTCCTCGCAGTTGGAGCCCCAGGCAGCCCCCACAGCACAGCAGCAGGCATCCATACGCAACTTGCCAGACACAGACTGAAAGCACTCATCTTCATCCCATTTCAGGTAGCATTGCTCCATGCGAAGATCTGCTCATTTTACAACAAACAGGCATTTTACCCTTTGCTGAAGTATTCAGTTTTTCAGAATACACCTATTTCTGAGGCACAAGCACATGTGAGGCTCCGTTTCTGGTAGACAGATTTCTGCTCAAGACTCTACAGTTCCACACAATGTTCAACCATTTGAAGTTGCTAATACTGCACTACAGTTAAGTCTCTGGATCTCTGTTGTACCATATAAAAGTATAAGCATTTCTTTTGTTGTCTCCCAACACAAAGATATACCATTATTCTGACACGATTGTGCTTTTTAGGTTTCTACGTGTATTTGATAGGACAGAGACGTTATTTCTTTTTTGTATCAGGTATTATAATTTAAAAATTGACCTGCATTCATGGTAAAAAAAATATTCCTACCCATATTTATATTACTAAAATAATTTTAAAAGGAATACTGAAAAAAAAAATACTGACCATTGCCGGGCTTACTTTAACACCAGCTGGCAAGAGAAAACAAAATGGTTTTCAGAAAAATTAATTACTTTTATAATCAAGGGTCGCATTTGCAGAAAAGCAGGTCAACCAAAAGAGAGATCAACCAAATGTGCAGGCAAAATCTGTACTTGGATATTCAGCTGTGAGAAAAAAGTACCACACACTGTTCTGCACACAGAAAAAAACAGCTTTGCCGTATCTCACATACAGTAAAAAATAACAATAAAAACACATTTGAAAGCATCAGTACATGCTCTACTTCTCACCTATTTGTATTTCAATAAAGAAAAATCACTTAAAATTTTTAGAAAAAAAGTTAGCATTTCTTAGAATATAAAATTCATATAAAAATGGGTCTCTACATGTTAATTTCTACAACATAGGTGAATTTCTATGCCCAAATTAAAAAATTCTGGCAAATAATACCAGTAATGGGAAATGGACAGTATCAATTACAGCAGCGCTAGAGAAGATGTCTGTGATACTATACAGAAATTTATTGGTAGCTTAATGCTCTCCAGGAAAAGAGAGTTATTTTCAGTGTGTAAGGAAGTTCACAAGGACACACTGTGTCTGATAAAACAACTTTTGGATATATTCTAGAGCCTCCTGACATGAGTGAAATGGACTGGAGGTCAAGCTGTATTTTCAGGATAAATATAAGCATTAATGTTTTGTACGAAGTACTGAACTGGAAGTTAGGTTTTAGCAGACTTAACAGAACTCTTAAATGCTTAGCACAAAAAGCTCTGGAAAAGATGCAAGGCCTAAAAATAACAGATGAGCTGCTGTACTGTTTTCCATATAAGTCCTTCAAAGTTGTGCAGATTTATAATATAAATTTACCCTATGCACATCTGAAGTTAAACAATTTAGAAGCTAGTATAAGAAATGGAAATTGTTCAAAGAATATTTATGGTTTCCTGTAAACTATTCCACATTAAGATTATATTTATTTTAATTTCCAGAGATTCAAACATATTGATAATAAATATTTGTTTGCACTAAAATCACTGTAGTGGATCCTGCAGGAAAAAATCTTATATCAGAAATATATGATATAGTGCACAGCAATTGTGTAGCATAGGAGAAGGCACACACCTTGTAATATAAAGGGTCATTTTTTCACCAAAATAAGAAAAGGGAACATGGCTTTGAGGGGAAAGGACTCCTGTATCTTGTTTGAAAATGACTCATTTGTTCCAGTTTCTCATTATATCCATCAACCACAATTAGATCCGCACCTGTCCTTGTCAAATTTATAATGGAAAAATAATACAGGGTTGATGGCCACAGATGCCAGTGCCTGGCAACAGAATTACTAAGTTTGCAGTGGGATGGGGGAAAGGAATATCAAGTAAAAGCTAATATGCAAAACTGCACGATAGGCACAAACATAACGTAAGTGTGCATCCAGGCAGACTTGGTTTTGAATTGTTTATTTTTTCTGGGACAATTCTAATGACTGTACACATCTGCTACATTTCAAAATTCTACTTATTTTAGAAAATATCTCTAGAACTAAACTTCCATTTAAAAATCCTCACAGCCTGGTAACTCTTTGTATCAGACATTGGTAAGGCATAGTGCAATTAAAGCAAAAGTGTTCACTTAAATTTACATCTGCTTGAGGAAAGAGAACACCGTTGAAATAAAAAAATAAAGGTTAGAATAGGAAAATCCTTGACATGAAGCAAGGGCTGAAATTCTGCTGCCCCTTTTTCTTAAAAGAAATCAATGCTGTCAGTAATCATATTTTTACAGTCTTTAGAAGTGTTTAGAAAAATAAACATGGATTCCATGAATCTATTCTAGACATCCAGCGGTTCATTATTTTTTATACCTGAAGACTTACCTAAAGAAATGTACGTCTTATTACAGAATCACAGAACCACAGAATGGTTTGGGTTGGAAGGGACCTTAGAGATCATATAGTTCCAACCCCCCTCCCATGGGCAGGGACACCTCCCACTAGACCAGGTTGCTCAAAGCCTCATCCAGCCCAGCCTTGAACACCTCCAGGGATGGGACATCCACAACTTCCCCGGGCAACCTGTTCCAGTGTCTCACCACCCTCACAGTAAAGAAATTCTTCCTTGTATTTAGTCTAAATCTTCCCTCTTGAGGTTTAAATCCATTACCCCTCGTCTTGTCCCTACATGCCCTTGTAAAAAGTCCCTCCCCAGCTTTCCTGTAGCCCCCTTCAGGTACTGGAAGGCTGCTATAAGGTCCCCCTGGAACCTTCTCTTCTCCAGGCTGAACAACCCCAACTCTCTCAGCCTGTCCTCACAGGAAGAAGTGTTCCAGAACACTGATCATCTTCATGGCCCTTCTCTGGACTTGTTCCAACAGCTCGACATTCTTCTTGCATTGGGGGGCCCAGACCTGGATGCAGTCCAGGTAGGGTCTCACGAGAGCAGAGTAGAGGGGGAGAATCACCTCCCTTGACCTGCTGGCCACGCTTCTTTTGATGCAGCCCAGGATCCGGTTGGCCTTCTGGGTATGATGTCTCCATAGACATCATGTTTTGTCAGTAGAAGATACTAATCTGTACAGCAAAGATGGAGTCTTTTTTTTTATCTACGATCATTTTGATTACTCTCAGACAGAGACCACTTTGCACCAGCATATTTGTGCTACAAGGTAGTATCCAAGTTTCACAAAATGACTAGACAGCAACAGAGAAGAGCACTGTTCACCCTGCACTACAAGCTGCTGGCTGGTCCACTTGACTGCTTATCATCTAGCTCTCAGCGAGTCAGTGAGCGAGAGTCAGAGTAAGGGCAGGACTCTAGCAAAAGCTGTTGATTGCACTGTTTGTAAAACAAGCCTTAACACAAACATTCATATTCTCCCAAGGGATTAACAGCTCTTCCCTGAACTGGTACAGGCATTTGATACCTAAGCAGGCATAAACTAAACTGTACGCCTAACAAACCGTTTTTGGAGGAATTCAGAAACAAACCAAGCATCCAAAAGTGCTGGACACAGCTGAAAACCTGTCAGAGTTGAGTGCGCTTACCTAAACACACTCGCCCTGTTCCATCCAGTGTCAGTCCCTCAAGGCACTCGCAGCGAAATGAGCCTATGCTGTTCACGCACCGACCATTGGGACAAACCCCGGGGAAAGTATCACACTCATTTACATCTGTTGGGGAAACAAAGAGTAGAGTTATATGCTAACCCAAAGGAGACAGCTATAGCTTTATTTATATATATTTATATATTTATTTATACAAGCTACATGAAAGCAAGCCAGAGGCTTTCATCCATATTGTATTAAGGTCTGAACACCATTCTGAACCAGTGTCTGGCTCAGTCTCAAGGGACTCTTGCAAGATCTTAAAGTTACAGAGCACGAAGATGCCATATTGTCTTCACTAAGACAAGATGATGGATATGGCTGAGATAAAGTTAAAACTAAATGGATTAAATGTATTTTGAAGGAGCTTTTCCACTCTCTTTGTATCATTTTTACATTTTCCAACAAACAGTGCAACATAACACTTCCCAACAGTCAGTAACTACTTGTGAAGCCATTTATCTAAGGTCAACATGACTTTGCCTGACAAAAAACAACATAATAAATCCCCTTTTATCTCATTTTCAAAAGAAAAAAAAAAAGTGACGAGTAAGAAGGAAAAACTTCACCTTCACAGGTAACACCCTTCACTCTGGCAAATCCTCTTGAGCAAGCTGGGTCTGGAATCAAGACAGAAAGATATATCACTGCTTTAGAATGACAGAAATATAGGATTTAAACATAAATGTACCTTCGGAATTCTCTAATAATTCGACTGTATAAGGTAGTGAGTGCTCTAGCCTCAATGAAGAAAAGTCCTGACTCACATATGTTACTTAAAACAAGTGAATAGTTGAGGAAATTAAATCTTAGACAATTACTTTCTCATGTGCTTTCCTTAATGGAAACCAGAATGCTCAACATCTAATAATATAAATCTCTGCACACAAATGTAGCTGAAAGGTAAATTTCCTGTAAAGTTGCCTGAAGATTTAAAACTTTAGTGATGCCAGTTATCACTAAAGGTTTTTTTTTCCACTGCAGCCTAATAAAGGATTTGAGCAATAACGTTATTTTAGGATATGCATGTAAAATGTAGCATGATGTAGTGATATGAAAGCCTGCTGAAATTTAACTAGTTTAGAGAATAGGAAATCAAATGTCCAAAGGTGTCCAGCATGAGCTAATTAGCTCTCTAGATCAACTATTTTTTAATTAATTTTACCAGTCTAACCTGACCATGCTGCTACATGGAGTCCAAAGTAATATCTTTACGTGATGCTGCACTGCACAGTTAAGAGCTCTGTTGGATGTTGTTTGCACCATGCTTGTTAGATGGGATACATGTGCCCACAGTTATTGTTCCAATTAAAAACTAAAGGATAAAATGTCCTGACACTGGTTCAGCTGCAAGTGTCATTATTCAAACTTTGTGAGGAGAATGTGGCCAAATATTTTCTCCACAAACTACAGCACACAGTTAGCAT